CAGCAAAACCGCGCTTATAGTGGCCTGGCTAAGTGCCACATATAAGTACAGAGTTTTTCCTTCGGCTGGGTGTGCTAGCGTCGAGAGTTGAGCCAGATGCTCACGGAGCTGCTTAAAGGCTTCTTTTTGCTCGTCTTCCCAGATAAGCTCCTTGGTTTTTGGGAGTTTCAACGCTTTGAAGAAGGGTAACCCCTTATCCGAGGCTCTGGAGATGAACCTGGACAAGGCAGCCATTCTCCCGGTGAGACGCTGAACGTCCCTCTTTTTTCTCGGCTTGGGAAAATCGAGCGCTGCCTGCACTTTGGCGGGATTGGCATCAATCCCCCTTTTGCTGACCATGAAGCCGAGGAACTTGCCTGACTTCACACCGAAGACACACTTCTTCGGATTCAGCTTCATTTGGTGTTTCCTTAAGGCGGCGAAGATTTCGGCCATGTCCGCGACATGGTCTTTGTCCTCTTTGCTTTTGATGATCAAATCGTCAACATAAACTTCCATGTTACAGCCTATTTGCTCGGAAAAGACTTGATCAACCAGCCTTTGATATGTTGCCCCCGCATTTTTTAATCCGAAAGGCATCATTTTGTAATTATACACCCCGGCGCTCGTAACGAAGGTCGTTTTTGCTCAATTGTCGGAGTGCATGAAAATCTGATGATACCCCGAGAATGCGTCCATGAAACTAAGCAGGGCATGCCCACTTGTCGAGTAAACTAGTTGATCGATCCTCGGCAAGGGATAAAAGTCGTTCGGACAGGCCCTATATAGGTCCGTGAAGTCAACGCACATCCTTCAGGTTCCATTTACCTTCTGAACCATCACCACATTGGCCAGTTATTTCGGATACTGACAGGGTTCAATGAAACCTGCATCTAGGATTTTTTTGTCTTCGGCTGCGATGTCTCGGTTCTTATTTACGGAGTAATTTCGCTTCTTTTGCTTAACCGGTCGACATGTAGGGTCGACATTAAGCTTGTGAGAGATGAGGTTCGGATCAATCTCGGGCATGTCTGCTGTCGAGAAAGCGGACACAACTTTGTTGTCCCGAAGGAGTTGGATAAGCTCAACACGGAATTTCGGATGGAGTCCGAGCCCGATGCTGACACATTTTTCAGGGTCTCCCTCGGTCAATTCTATTGATGACTCAGTCTGCTGGTCCAACTCCATTGCTTTGGCACTAGAGTCTTCACAATTTAGCCTGCTGTCAATATCGGCAGGCTTCCCAGACTTCGTCCGGTGTTCTGAGTCTTTCAGCTCAAATGAGGAACCATCATTTTCATTTCCCAAAGATCTTTCTCGTGCTGGGGCGCCTTGGGCCGAAGCATTTAAGCCTTTAGGCTTCTTTGTGCATCGGTCTTTTTCTCTTTCTTCTTCCCCGTCATCCTTGTTGTCGCGATGACTGTTGGATGGCTTGAGGTAGTTGCATCTTCGGGCCTCCTTTTGGCTGCCCTGAATCCTTTCGGAGTGTCCCTCGTCTGAAACATATATCATCATTTAATGGTACGTTGAGACTACTCCTTGGATCTCATGAATTATGGGTCTCCCCATAATCACGTTGTATACAGACGGAACGTCCACGACCAAAAATTCGGCCATGATATTTCGGGTTGCTCGGTCTCTGCCGATGGTGACAGGAAGAGTGATTTTCCCGTCCATATATGTTGCAGACCCATTGAATCAAGATACCGGGTAGGGTACCGGAGTCAGGTGCTTGGTCCTCAACTTTAGCTGGTTGTAAGCCTCCCGGAAGAGGATATTCGCACCACTTCCGCTGTCGCCGAGAGTTCGCCAGACGTTGTGGTTTACGATCCATGTAACGATCACCAGCGGGTCATCATGAGGGTATGCCACCCCCCGGCAGTCTTCGGCTGTGAACATAAAGTTCGGCATCGAAGACTGGGGTGCTCGGATATCAACATGGTTCACTTGATAGGTCAAGCCCTCAAGTGGCATTTTCGCGCTTTTCGAGAGCTTGTTCCTTCGGAAATGACAAGGATGTCGGGATTGTCTTTGTCCTGCAGCTTGTCTTTTTTCCGGGGGAAGTCCAGTTCTTGTCGAGAATCTTTCTCGGCTTTTTTCTCTTCGCGGCGATCCGCGAGATATTTTTTCAAGTACCCTTTTCGGACCATATCCTCGATCTGATCCCTCAACTTGATACAGTCCTCGGTGTGATGTCCAGGAGATTCGTGGAATTCACACCATCGATCCTTGTTTTTCTGCTGATGCCACGATGGTAGTGGCCTCGGCTTCTTGTACTTCTGCTCGTCCTTCATTATGTTGTAGATCTTAGCACGTGGAAGGGCGAGAAGAGTGTATGATTCATATTTCCCGATGAATGGGGTTTTTTCTTTCTTCAGCTCAGGAGCCGAGGATGGTTCTGAGGCTTTCGCCTTCCCTTTCCTCTGGTTCTGGCTTTCGGATTGCTATCCTTTTGTCTTCCTAGCCTCGGATTGAGACCACGATTTGATTTTGTTCCATTCTTCGGCCCGAATGTATTTATCCGAGGCATCCAGAGCTTCCTCCAAGGTCTGCGGGTGATGCATGACCATGAAGTCAAGGAACTTTCCAGCCTGCAGGCCGTTTCGCAGTGCAAAAACGGCTAGCCCTTGGTCCAGACTTGTAATTATAGACGACTCGTTGTTGAAGCGAGTCAGATAGTCTCGGAGGCTCTCGTCCTCCCCTTGCTGCAGACTCATCAATTCTGCAGTTGTCTTCTCCCGGCGGTTCACCATAGAAAACTTGCTCTTAAATTTGTTGGAAAGGTCTTTCCAACCGGTTATCGAGCCTTCCTTTACTTCCTTGATGATCCACACCTGTGCAACACCTTTAAGAGTGGTCGGGAAATATTTGCACCAGGTCGCTTCGGACCTGGGGTTCAGGTACATGTGCCCCTCGTAAGAGGCAATGTGGTCCTTCGGGTCCAAAGTACAGTCATAAGTTATGTGTGCCGGGATTTTCACTATTGGCACATGCTTTTCCAAAATCCAGCTTTGGAAGGGTGAGCTGGTGGGAACCATCACGGCCTTTCCCCTACGCCTAGCCAACGGGACCTCGCTCCTCCCTCTTTAAGAGGTTGAAGTGGTTTTCGTCCTCGGCTGGGACGATTCGGGACAAGGATCAGTTCCCTCGAGGTAAGTAAGGCGACTACGCACGCTCATCTCTCTTGAGCCGAGACGTTCGTGAACGTTTCGGCAAGCAGGCTCTTGCCACGCGGAGGTGGTGTTGATGCTTTTGTAGCTCCTAGAGTTTTGGGTTTCTGAATTTTCAAAGAACTAGGGGTTCTTTTTCCTCTCCCGTTCAGTCCTCCAAGTGTCCTACTCCCATTTATCCCCGAGCTCCTTGAAGGATAGAGCTCGTCCACTTTCCTCTTGGCTGGTCCTCCTTCTCAAATTTCTCGGCGGAAGAGGCGAGTGGTCACGGGGTGGTAGAAAGTTTCCTCCTTGGGCCTTCATGAGGTCCACGAAGACCGCAACGGCTCGTGCCGCTTCCTCCGTAGAGGGCCCCGTTTAAGGAGTTGCTCTCGGCTGAGACCGAGAATGGAAACTTCGAGGGGGACTCTTAGCATTGGACTGACTCGGCCGATATGAGCTGGTCGGCTGGCGAGTATGATGGGATGGTGACCTCTCCGGCGCTGCCCTTTCCGGGGAAGAGGGAGATTTCGAAGAAGAAGGTTCCAGTGATGGTGGAGCAGTAGATTCCTTCTCACCGGAATTGGACCTTTCCTCGAAGAGGAAGGGTCGTTCGTCTTAGTACTCTTACCACTCTTAGTCATTTTTGCTAAGATTGGTTGATTTTTGGCTTGCTTTTGAATGTCTATCCCCACAGACGGCCACAAATTGTCTCGGGTGAAAACAATAGAACCTTCGGCAAGGCCCTTTTGTGTGGACTGAAGACTGATCTTGGTCCAAGTGATGACTGGGCCGAGGGTTTCCTGCACAGCAAACACACGTAAACTGGCCTCGGGGGTTGTGCCAAGGAAGGCCCCTCTGATGCCGAAGTCAATACAGTGTTTAGAGAGAGAAAGCTATGCAAGAGTATTAATTGCTTGAGGCTTGAATTGAATGAATGTAGAGAGAGTGAGAGAGGATTGAAGGCTTTTATACCTTTGCTTAATGGATAAATGGACCTTAAACCAAGTGGGCTTGCCACCTTGACTGGGCCTTGACTGACTTGGCAATTATTTGGAGAGTTGAACCTTGCTTTGGGCTTTGCAATTAAACCATTTATGGACCGGTCCAATTGAAGTAAATTGGACCCAAACTAGAAATAAAAAGCAAAAACTTACCTTCAATAAATTCTTAATTTAACCTTGCTTGTTGATGAACTGCAGCACAGAAACTACACCGTAGCAAGCAGCTCCAGTACACGCCATGTGCCATCTACTGCAGACTTCAATAAAAACCAAACAACAGAGTGAGTAACATAACTAATTGTAGATCCTAGAGATTTAAATTAATCAAATTATCAAAATTATGAAAGTTTACCAGTCACCACAACACATTTCAAATCATAAATAGTACTAATGCTAATGCTTGACAATGAATTAATCTCGTCATTAATATAGCAACAAATGTCGTACACCGGTACTTTTATTAGATCTCATGTTGGTATAAACATTTTACCAATAGTCTTGTTGGTACTTTTACACCACATGTTGGTACAAAATATTTTACCAACATGAGGCCTAAAAGTACATACCAATGGACACTTATTATATCGTTAATGATGATATTAGTTATTGATTTAGACAACCTTTGCTAAGACTTCGTTTAATTTGGTTCAAGCAGAGGAAAAAAGGGAAAGGAGTCGAAAAAGAACCAGAAAAGAAAGAAACATAACTAAATTTCCTAGTCTTGTTGGTTTCGAACCGGAAAGGAAGGTAGTTTGGGGTCTTTCTCATTCCCTTTGTGATTTTTTTTCTTTTTTTCTTTTTTTTTTTTTTTACTACAATTATAAAACATAAATGAACTAAATAATTTAAATCTCTGTAAACTTGGCAGATTCTAGCTGGAGAACCGCGGCATGCGAGCTTCATTTGGAGATTATGCAAACTTATTTTTAGATAAATTTCCTTCTACAGATCATATGTTGCAAGTTCCACTTTGAAACGAAGATACTTTTTGATGCGGATCAATAGCATTAAAATCATATTTTTAGTTGTTTTCTTTAACTTTTATTCGAGTCCTCTATTAATTGTGAGATTGAGTGTCGTCAATCCGAAAGTTACGCATGATTAATAGAATTAGCGTTAATTATCATAATTCATCAGTGTACTAATGAATTTACAATAAGACATTAAAACTGCTGGTTTGAGTTTGCATGATAAGCTAGAAAATAAACTTTTAACTTTATTCTGTTTTTATTTATCTTTTAATTTAACACCGGAACTAATATTAGGGCAAATTTCATGTTAGTTTGCTCTCATACTTTTTGACCTTTGCTTACTCACACTATGATGTCAAAATATAATACTCCTTCTGCCCCTATTTGTTTGCCCCATATTTTATCTTGGAATGTCCTTTGAAGATTGTCCTTTTTATTTCCTAATATAGTAACATGCTCCCACCACTAAACTCACTTGCAACATTCTAAAATTGAAAAAGACATCTCAACCACTAGCAATTTTTCGATTCAATTATTAATAAAGCACATTTTGTCTAAGGGACAAACAAACAAGAACAGAGGGAGTATCTACGAGTATATATATTGGCATTAACAATGATACATCCAATATTTTTTGCATTAGACATGTCGACATGTCGTTAGTACGAAATAATGAGAATATTTTTGAAAAATACACAAACACACACAATTTAATTAATTTGCTTCCGTTGCGATTTGAACCCAATACCTATGGTACCAACAAAATGAATATTAATGATAATTCAGCTACTTTTTTTTTTTGTATACCTAATACAACCATTTAATATAGTATATAAAACTAGAAATTTCTAGACATAGCGATGGCCATGACTTAGACAGGCAGGCTTGCCCATGAATCCGTCCTTTGACGTGTACGTAGACAAGAAGTACGTATTGCCTTTTTAATGTAGAGTTAAATCTGGTGAGTTGATATTTATTTAGTTTGTTGATACAATGAAAAGTAATTACTAGATGTAATAATAGTGATAAGAAATAAATAAATGGGCTAGATGAGTAACCATTCAATAAAAAGATTGTGTTGGGATCCCCGTTTAATAAATAAGATAAGTTAAGAGTGAGGGACCAAGGGACTGAGGGGTAGTCAATCGTTGGTTAGAGCTTTTCTCCGATTTTAGGGGATTTTGAGATCGATTCCCATTACATACCCTTATAAATATTTTAGTGGCGTACGCGCACGCACCAAAAAAACAAAAAAAGAAGAAGGATTTTTATATTTTTAGTCCGATCAATGTCATAATCCATACGACCATAATGAATATGAATCCGGCTGGACTTAACTTCTTAATTAGTCCTACAGAAATTGCCTCACATTTGGCACACAACGCAATAGAAAAAGACAGAGAAATCTTCCGAAGTCGAGCGACCAAAGTTTAATTGGGCCAGGTAGTTATTGGGCTCTCTTCGTTCTAATTCTTCATAGCCCATAACTTGTTAGTGAGTATTGGCCACTTGGCCAGGCTGGCTGCCTAGCTTGTTTTTATATTTAGCCAAATAGCATTTGTAATCCATCTGGTTTAAATAAGTACGTAAGTTTTCTTGAGACCATGTCATTCACATTCGTAAAAACCACTACTATATAAATTTAATATTTCATGATAATGGGGAAAGATCAAGTGGTTAGAGCTTTCAACCTGATTCCGAGAGATTTTGGGATCGATTCTTATTTATGTTGGTGTAATAAAAGCCATATTAAAGTTAATATATGAATAGTACATAAAGTAAAAATGATGTAGTGCAAACTTGTTTGGAAACGGAGGGATTATTTTACAGAAATGGCGTGGCAGTATGGCATATTAAGCTATAATTATATGTAAACAAAAACTGTATAGTAGAGCAAAGGGGAATGATTAAAGAGGTTATGTATAAATATTATAAAGTGTCATTAACCCATGCATCCTGGTAATTGCTATCTGCCAAAGGACTATAGCTTTTAGGTGCACTTTGAATAGCAAATGTTAATTAAATTTGTACTAATTATAACGAATAAGTATTAGCTGAACCTAATAATCTGTGAGATTTCATTCCGATTGATAGTTTTCTGCTAATAAAAAGGCGGTCCAAATACTAAACTTTAAGCTCAATTATCTTTAAATGGCGCAACCAGATCAAACAGCTGTTGAATTTGGGCATATTAATCCACCTGTTCTACTTCAAAATTCTGGTATGTATCAAACATCTGATAGTTTGTACACTTACACGCGTGGTCTAATCTCTATATATAATTTGGTTAACTCGATGGTTATGAAGAAGCTATTTGTTTCCCTAATTCTCCATTAAGATTATCTTGCAATGAAATTTTTCCTTGCTCGTTTAACTTCCTGATTGAATTATTGAAGTATAGATTAATTCATACTGGATAGAAGTTTAGTACAGAGCATAGAGGAATTAGTAGTAATCTATCTAGTCTAGAGGATTACGAAAACTGATCTTTGGAAGTTGTCAATTGATTGTAATTAATGATGAATTTGTTACAGTAAATAATTAGTTTTCTTAAAACGTCTAAGTAATATCCATATATATATATATATATAACCGATTCTGAATTATTGTTTTTCTTGGCTTGACTAGATAATGAGGGGACTCATATTACAATAAATCATATTGGACTACATGATTCCGAGGATTATCGTGTACATTTATATAAAGCCGCTTTATGTGGAGATTGGGAAGTTGCAAAAGAAATCCACAGCATACACCCTAATTGTTTCATGGAGAAAATATCAAGAAAGGGTGATACTGCCTTGCACATAGCAGCAGCTGGAGGGCGTTGTGATTTTGTGAAAGAATTATTAGCACACTCTCGTCCAACTGCTCAACAATTAGAGGTGCGCAACAATTTAGATAATACCGCGTTCTGTATGGCTGCTGCATCTGGTGTGCTTGAGATTGTTCAGAAAATGCAAGGTATAAACCCAAAGTTGCCGAACATCCCTGGGAGTCATGACATGAAACCCATCTTAATTGCTGCTTTACTAGGCCATGGCGCGATGGTTAGGCATCTAAGCCCTTATTGCTTTGATGATCTGTCTGAAGATGATCGTATTGATCTTCTTATCAGTGCCATCAATACAGATTTGTATGGTAATTTAAGCTTTCATTACACTCAAATAAATTATGTATGTATATATTCAATTCCACATAACTTTGACATCATAATTAAACTACTTTCTACATGTACATTATTAATTATGTTTATGGGATGTAGATGTGGCTTTGGAAATCCTTGGCAACGATGAAAAGTTAGCTATTGTTCGAAATGGAAATGGGGAGACACCATTACATGTATTAGCTCGAAAATCTCGAAAAAATGGACCAGGTCGACTTAACAGTTGGAGACAACGTTTCAACTTTGGTAGGTTTTTGGTGAGTACAATTCTTCCGTGTGTCTTTTCATTCTATTGGTTGATATATTACTTCGTCTAACATATGATTTCCAAATGTATTACGACATTAATAACAACCAATAGAATAAAGAGGCACAGTGGTACACAAATTGTGAGACATAGAATTTGGATTTGTTTTAATTGATTAATTACTCTTTTTTTTTTCTACGTGTGGATTCTCTTGATTTACTACTATATATATATGTAGATGTATAATCATTGTTTTTAATAGTTACGAATTACTTATGGGGGGAGCAACAAGAAGATGAAGCTAAGCTTAAACTAGTGGAGCGTCTTTGGAAAGTAGTTATAAAACAACCCGAGGAGACTATATCCGAGATTCTATCTCATCCTCAACCTGAATTTCTGTTCGCCGCAATAGAATTAGGCAACTATGAGTTTGTTGCCACGCTAATACGCCATTATCCTGATCTAATATGGGAGACAGATGAAGAAAATCGAACCATATTTCATGCTGCTGTCCAATGCCGTCAAGAAAAAATCTTCAGTCATATTCATGAAATTGAGGGAATCAATCATTTGCTAGCAGCTTATATGAATCACACCAATGGTAATAATATTCTTCATCTAGCAGCCACTTTGCCTAGTTCTGATAGACTCGATGTTGTTTCGGGTGCTGCTCTTCAAATGCAACGGGAGCTCTTATGGTTTCAGGTAATTTTTTCAAGCTTCAAGATCATTTGAAGTACTAGGCAGTCTACAATCTTACCGAAGTATCGGCTTCATAATGTGCTATAATATATTCATAGCTTTTTTGAGTCTTTTTTGTTGGAATATTTGCTTTAAATTGTTAGTGGTTAGTTAACTTCTAAAGTATAGGAATATCGAATATGCTATTGATTAGCGTCTCAATTTTAGGAGCTTGACAAGGGATTAGTTTGTGTTAGTGGTGTCATAAAAATAGTGGATGGGTTTAGTGAGTTAAAGTTAGGCATGATCTAATGATTAAGGATCTTTTTCTTAACTTTTAGCTTAATTTGTTTTTATCTTTGCATTTATATATACATGTTGCTATGTACGTAGTTGGTTTTTCAATGGATTGTATACAAGTTTATTTTTCTTACCCTCTCATCTCTATTATGGTTGCAATAATTTTTCCATTTATCTCATTAACTACACCTAAAACAAAAAAAAAATGACGTGTTATTTCGTTAATTACAGGCAGTTGAAGAAATTGTACAGCGCGAGTATGCTGATATGAAAAACAATCCACAAAAATCAAAGAAACGAAAAGAAACACCACGAGCATTGTTCACCCAAGAGCATAGGTCGCTTAGGAGAGACGGTGAAAGATGGATGCGCGACACGGCCACTTCGTGTATGGTTGTTGCAACACTAGTCGCAGCAGTAATCTTCCAAGCAGTCTTCCAACCACCAAGTCATGACAACAAAAAATTATTTTGGATGTTTGTCATTTCGAATGCGTTGTCTTTGGTGGCTGCAACGGCTTCAATCTTGTCATTCCTCGCAATCCTGACTTCAAGGTATGCGGAGGAAGATTTTCTTGTGTCGTTGCCTCTAAAATTAATTATTGGCCTCGCGTTACTTTTCTTCTCAATAATGACAATGTTATTAGCCTTCACCGACACCATTGCCATCATATTCCCACCTCGACCGCTAGCGATTACTATAGCTGTACTCGCGTGTATGACCGGCAGCTTGTATATTATGCAGCATCTCCCGCTTTTGGTTGATGCATACCATTCCACATTTCGTTCTCGTTATCTATTTCGACCTCGACAACAGTTATTTCGAGATTAATCGAGAAGCTTGGTGTAATTGGTTTGTAAATTACAAGTATTATTATCATTGACCTTTTGCTTGTGTTGTGTGTATTCTCGATCTAGTGGTGGTCTGGCTGAACATTTGTTACATGAGTAGTATTGTTATTTATTATACAATACATACGGAGTATTCCATAGCTTGGTGTTAAGACACTAATTTTAGGTGCTTAGCCTACTTACTATTTTGAAGTTCATGTATGTTTATATGTACAGGAGGTACGCTACACGGCTATAAAGCACAATATCAGCTTAGGTATATAGATTGTGATGACAACCCTTTTTGAGTGTTTACCATTGATCAGATTGCAACATAATGGATGGTCCTCACACAGTTACCAAAATAAAATAAATAAATATATAATGAACTAAATCTAAGAAGAATATATTCGAATAATATACGCTCTAATAATAGTATTGGCATTTGAAATAATTTTCATGGTTAAGACGAGTAAATTACTCTCTTCTCTATATTTCATATTACGTGTGATATTCAATGCACTACTAGATATTAATATTTCTTTTTCATGGACGATAATAAAGTATTGACGCCTCTATTTGAACCTTTCACAAGTCAAATTTGTCCTGACTTAGCATATATCAAACACTTTGAGAGTGAATGGAAGGTGGAAATGAAGCTTCCATCCCCCATGACATCAACCACACTTCCATCCGCCTTATTCCCAAAGTTGTCCACCCTGAGGCTATTAAGCAATTCATGCCTATTTGTCTATGTAATTCTTCTTATAAGATAATCACCAAAATTATGGTGCAAAGAATAAGACCCTTACTGAATGGATTAATCTCCCCAACTCAAGGAAGTTTCCTTCCAAGAAGGGGCTGCCAGAATAATTTCATAGCTGCATCTGAAATATTGCATTTTATGAAACTTAAATTTGGTAACTGAGCCTGGTTTGCATTGAAAATAGACTTGGAGAAGGCTTATGATAGGCTTGAATGATCCTTCATTAGAAGCTGCGTGCCTTGTCAGAAGTGGGTTTGATAAAAACTCTTGTGATCTAATCATGAGTTGTGTGTCATCCCCCTCTTAATATCATGGTGAATGGCAGAGCTACTAAGACTTTTCATGCTTCTAGAGGAATAAGGCAAGGGAATCCCCTATCAACCTACTTATTCATCATCTGCATGGAATATCTATCCACCTTGATACAAGAAGCTTGTGATGATGCATGGTTCCTGGATCCCCTTCCAGTTCAAGAGAAACTCTGTGTCCATATCCTACTTGATGTTTGCTGTTGACCTCATTATATTTGGTGAAGCCTCTCAACAAACCCTGGACTCTATATCCAATACCCTTGACACCTTCTTCGCTTTTTATCTGGTCAGAAAATGAACAACTCAAAAAGCAAACTCTGATCTACTTTTCAAAGAATGCTTCTTAGGCTATAATTTATCTGTTCTCCTCCCATCTTAGTGTTCCTCCTAGCTCTGACTTGGGAGCATACCTTGGCTTCCCTCTTACTGATTAAAGACATACCCCTAATCAAGTGAGCTACATTACTAGAAACATGGCCTCAAAACTTTCAGCCTGGAAATCAAAAACTCTTTCTAAAGCTGGCAGGGCTGTCTTGATTAAAGCTTCTTTAGCTAAAATCCCTCAATATGCTATCCAAATCCACCCACTTTCCTTCTTCAGGGTATAAAAAGATTGACCAAATATGTAGTAGATTCTTCTGGGGATCTACTGATGATCAGAAGAAAGCCCACATGATTGGGTAGGGAAGTATCTGTACTAGCTAGGACTTAGGGGGTTGGGTCTCAGAATTTCTGAACTTCAAAACAAAATTCAACTAGCAAAGCTTTGCTGGAAAATGTGTCATTCAGATTCTCTGGCTGCTTCCATCATTAAAACCTAAAACTGCTCCAGACCAACTCTAAACTCTTTCAAATATGGCTCTCATATTTGGAAAGTATGGGTAAAGGATGGGATGTATTCCAAACTTTCACCCATCCATTGGCAGTGGCAACCACTGCCTGGTTTGGGATCACAATTGGACTGGCCATGGTCCCCTTAGAGCCCTAATTCAAGGGCCTCTAATGCAAGATGAGGAGATTAGAACTGTGAACTCCATAATCAGAAATGATGTCTGGGACCTACAAAGCCTTAGTGTGCCTATTCCTCCCCATATACAAGCTTTAATCAAAGCTACTCCCTTTATAAGATAGGGGGATGAATCTCCCTTCTGTTCTCTCTTTAAAGGCAAATATTTTGATGCAAATCAGGCATATCTTTACCTTTGGAAAACATTAAAATCAAGCGTAGCCCCCAACATCCCATGGGACAAAATTTGGAAGCAATCCATTCCCCCAAACTCAAGACTGTTCCTTTGGCAACGTTTGTGGGATAGACTTCCCAACTTTAAAAACCTCTTTCTTAAACACATAACCCCTTCCCAATTTTGCTGTTTTTGTCCTGGCATCATTGAGGATGTCATCCATGTCCTAAGAAACTGTCCAAGAGCTATGGAAATCTGGGACATGGCAAACCATCCCATCATCTTTGACTAGCCTGACATCCAATCATGGATCCTGCACAACATTGACCGCTCATCAAGTCATCTCCATGGGATACCATGGAACTTCTCCTTCTCATCATTCTTAAGAAGATCAGGCTAAGAAGAAATGATTGGATTTTCAACCATAAATCCAAGCCTAGCTATCACCACCTGGTGGGCTTCTACTATTGACTCCATCAAAGAACTATTTCATTTCTCCTCTGCCAACCCTCATCCTTCTTCATCCTTAACCTTTACTCACCACCTGAACCTGAACCTAGATCAAAATCAAATGGTTATATCAGTAGATGCTTCCTTTACCTCTGCCTCTTTATCTACTGGTATAGCATGCATGCATCTGTAGGACTCATTATGGGTCCTGGATTTAGGGAATTGCTGGACACTGCCTAGCTCCAAACTCTTATGTTCCTGAAGTATTTTCCATCCTAACTACTCTTCATTGGGCAAAAGATAATTCTTGGGGGAATGTCCATATTATGTTTGATTGTCAAAGAGTTGTCACTAGTATTTGTGATACAGATTCTCCCCCTAATAAAGGTCATCTATTTTCCATCTGGTGTAGGGACCTAATGCAACTTTCAGGGAGCAATAGGGTGCTGAAAGTTCCAAGGATGAAAGTCAGGGAAGTAGATTTCCAAGCTAGGAAAGCTAGGTTGACTCTAACTCCTACCCAGCCTAGAAGGAAAGGAGATCAGAGCTGGATTTCAAATTTCTTTTGCTGTAACCCCCCTCCTAATCCTTGTATTAGAATATCAGAAGATAACTATAGCTCTTTTGGCCAGAATTGGCATGAACATTTGGGTGCTGTGCTACCAGTTTAATTCCTAACAGTGTATGCTTATGACTTTGTACGTTTTGTTGCTACCTCAGAGGGGTGGTTTAATTGATTACTCTGATCCTTCTCACCAAAAAAAAAATGGAAGGTGAAAATGTAAGGGAATCTCCAACTCTCAAAATATCTCTAATGGGGATTGAACCCAATTTCAAGGTTAGAAAGTTCTCTCCTTACCATAGGCCAACACTTAAATAACAAATTATATCTAAGAAGTGGGATAATCCTACCTACTAGGAGGAGCTAATTTATCTAATTAAGCAATTTCTTCCATTTTTTGAGAGGTGGAACTTTTTTACTCAAAAGAGATGTGATTTCTCATGTATTTAATTTTTTTTTTTTTTTTTTTGAACAAACTCATCATGTATTTAATTTGGCAAATAAACATGTACTACATATAATCTATCATTTTCTATTAATTTTTCATGAAATTTCATGTCAATATAATTAAGCAAGAGCGAAATTTGAGCGGGACCATATATATCCGGGTACACTCAACTCGAATGTACTTCCTCCATTATTTTAGTTGACACCATTTGACTTTTACACTATTTACAAACTATATTTTGACTAACTTTTGTGGTCTATAACTACGATAAAACATAGTCATGTGGGATCTTGTTTGTATCGACCATATGTGTATTTTATTCTTTGTTTTGAACAAACTCATCATGTATTTAATTTGGCAGATAAACATGTACTACCTATAATCTATCATTTTCTATTAATTTTTCATGAAATTTCATGTCAATATAATTAAGCAAGAGCGAAATTTGAGCGGGACCATATATATCCAGGTACACTCAACTCGAATGTACTTTCTCCATTATTTTAGTTGACACCATTTGACTTTTACACTATTTACAAACTATATTTTGACTAACTTTTGTGGTCTATAACTACGATAAAACATAGTCATGTGGGATCTTGTTTGTATCGACTATATGTGTATTTTATTCTTTTATTAATATCCAGTTTTTATGATTTTAAATTATTTATAATTAGAGATATAAATTGTTAAAATTGTGTATTGGCTAGCGTGATAACAGATTGGCGTCAACTAAAAAAAAGGAGCTAGTACTAATCATATGTATTATAATTGATATTTTAAATTTTATAAAAAAAAAAAAAAATCTTATAAAGTTCAAATTTTATTAAACTTCATTTAATAACACGTACTTTAAAAAAAATCAGGTGTACAATAATTATTATACATTAGAAATTTGTATTGTCTTAAAATGATCAAAAGTTACCCAAAATAAATGGAAGTTACCCCAGCTTAATTAAAAGTAAATTATGCTTTATGGATATAGTTATTCTCTCTAAATGAATAAAAATCAAACCTCAATGAGCGAAACTAAGAATATCACCCTTATAAAGCTTATTCCGTTGTCTATATATTTAAAAATCATGCTGGTTCAAATCCCAAAAAAGTTTAAAAGTTGCTCCAAGTTAGCTAAAAGTTACCCTAAACTATTCAACGTACACTAATTTTATTGTAAACCGGGTGCACACAAAAGTTAGTCTAATATATATGAATACTGAAAAATATATACTTCCTCCTTTTTTTTAATATTGTACCACTTGCCTTTTAAAGAAGTATCACAAATATTGCACCATTTTTAGTTTAGGATAAGAGATATTTGTATTTACACTACAAATACCAAATATACCATTACTTTTCAACACTTGATTTTTTAGTTTATGTATACCATTACATGGACAATCTTGTATTTTTACCTTTCTCTCTAATCCTTTTTTCCACTACCAAAAATCTTGTGCCCAACTCCTATGGTGCAGTAAAAAAAGAACGAAAGAAGTATATAATATCCTACATTTTACTTATACACATTTAAAAATGTAAATGGTTAGGTGGAGAAATGGAAAGATAAAGAATAATATAATTCGGAATAAATGGTTTAGTGATAATATAGTTACATAGTCTATAGACTTTAGAGAGAAACAACAATAAAGACGACATTTTAATGTGTTGTTGACTTATTCAATTACAATGTTAGTTATACGGTATGACTCTATGAATGTATGATATGGATGAGCTCATGGGCTCATGGCCACTTGATTAGAAGATTCACATAATCATAATCCGTATTTCAATACTTTGTATTCCTTAATTCCTAGTATTTATTTGCCATGACAATGAAATTTAATCTTAATTTAATACAAAAACTATTATAAACATATTAACAATTAAATTATTTGTAGGCTTGCTTTAAATATGACTTAGATTTGTACTAAGTTAATAGGTTGACTTTGTAGCCTGCATTAGTGCATTGGATATGTCCTGTCTAACAATAATATCACAGGAAAGCGAAATCTAATAATTAAATAAAGACAGTATAATTGTTTATGTAAGTCATGAACTTGTGGACAACCACATCGTATTAACTATTAAGAATATACTACCTTGTGAAATACAAATAACTTATAACCAAATACAATTTAGGAATTCGGAATTCTAACTAAAGTAATAGAGAGAGTAATATGAATGAATCGATCAGAGGTTGCAAACAAAAACAATTGCGCCAGATCGAAAAAGATGCTGTTGTGAGTTGTAAATTGTTATAGTTGGTTTTGTTTTTATTTTTACTTAGTATTTTGATGAAAGATTTTACTGGTTATTTTTTCTACTGTATATGTAACTAATTCAAGCTATATATTTTGCTGAAACGAATCATACCTAGAAAACTGTTTTATGTTATTTTTAATTTTTCGCTCACACAATAATTTTTTTTTTTTTTTGACAAGACACCTAATAATTATATTAGTTAGGGTAATCTTAGTCTTACCTAGTATGAAAGTATGAAACAATATATGTTAAGTGTCATACGGATCGGAGTATTTTCACGTATACAATACATTGCTATGAGGTTATAATAAGACAAGACTTTTAAAAATATAAGGATAATGGGAAAATGGCTATTAATTAAATCAAATAAAGCGAGTCATTCTTTTTATGGTTTGATTTTATTTTTTGGGCCAGTTGCACGTTTCAAGTTATGGGTTGAAGTTATAACTTATAAGTAATTAGTATTTAGTAACCCAAAGATTCAACTAATTAGGAGTTAATCACAATTTTTTTTTTTTTTTAATTTTTTATCATGCTCTCCAATAAATTTAAAAAAACTGAACTTTTAAGATTACTTTTTCATTTTGGGAATCTATATACAATTTAATTTTAGATCCGATCGACTGAACTTAATATCCATTATAATGTTACAAGTGCTGTAAAATGTAGAATTGGTCATAGGCCAAGCTTAGCCATAGTTTGAGCCGATCGAAGAGTAGAGGCGTTAGAAATTGACTCAATCGATTCAATATGATCTAATTCAGATCTCTATTCGTGACTCAATAATTTATCACGACTCAATTTTGAAGTAGACCCGACCTCACCTATCCCGACCCAAGTACCCGAATTGACATCTATATTGCACCTATATTAAAGAGTGTGTGCAAGTCCAGTAAAATATAGTTGAAGACCTATTAGGGTGGGTCACATGCTAATTATTTAGTAATTGGATTAGTTGTTTAATTGCCATTAAATTTTATAGGCACTTACTTTTTCCATATTTTTTTTTTACCATGATGTCGGGTCAACATTAAAAAGCAAAATTGGAGAAGTTACTATTCATGAAATTTACAATTTTCCACATAAGATGAGCTTGGTCATTCACAATTACTAAGATTTACAAATTTTTACATGACAACCGAACATATTAGGTAATTCCACTTGGAAGTGCAAAATTATAAAATGGTAATTGATAACATTAGGGAGTAATTTCCTGTGAAATGGAAAATCATGAAGGAAGTGCAAAACTATGAATATGTAATTGTAATATTAGACTTAGTGCCAGTTTAATTCACCATATTTTCATTTATCTAATCTGATCTGATTTTTTTTTTTTTTAATTGGGTCTAATTGTCTGATTTGACTATACTATGACAATATATATTCGCTAATCTATAAGGAAAAAAATGGGGTCTTAGATTCGTAATAATGTGTATTTTATTAATAAATGATTTTCATTACGAAATTAAAAATATTTAACGATTTAAAACCGTACATAAAACAATAAAGTATGTCATAACTTATTTTTCTGAGTTGATCTAAAATAAATATGTCCCACAACTCTCACCCAAGCTTATCCTTATCAACATATAATTTCAAAATTGTGAGGCGTTTTTTATTATTATGAATATATACAGAGTAATCTTTAAATTATTAAACTTATTTGCGAATACAATAAAAATTAAGTTGTTCAAAAATCAAGGAAAAAAAAAAGAAAGAAAGAATTAAGTTAAAACATTACTCCAACAAAATAAATAAAAAAAAAATCTGTCAACTACTATTCATGGCCTGGTGACATAATGACGAATAACAAAATCCGATTCAAAAGCAAATTTTTGGACGGACTAAAGTAACCATATGTTATTAAAACATATATGGTTGGCAAACAAAAATTTAATATTTTGTGAATATCCTTAAATATCATTATGCAGGATTCGAAGGGTAGACCAACTGAAATCAGTCCCAAACTTTAGACACAAATATATGTAAGCTTTAGACACAAACATATGTAAACTTTAAATTGGGTGGAGACAGTTTACATGTTTGTGTGATAAAATAAACCCCTTCATAAAATGTATCAATATGTAATTTTATTTATTTATTTATTTTTTTACAAGACATCAATATGTAATTTTGATTGTTGCAAATAATTAAAATTTTGCATATAATATAAATTTTTTTATTTGAAGCAATTGGGTGCAATGTCTGCATCCTATTACGCACCATATTACGTTCAACCCTCAATTTATTTATTTATTTTAATAAGAACCCTCAAATGGTCTCTACTTAATTAATAGTTTAATGCATAAACATACATACGACTCCGCAGTATATAATGCAGATGAGATAAAGTTCTGGTTTAATTAGGGTTACAGGTTATAAAGCTGATTAATCCCTAAATTCCAAACACAAGTCCAACGTTATATTCCTTCGTAATCATAAACCATGGCTAACAGGTTCGTCGTCCTTTTCTTATAAAAGTACAATAATTATGTCTTCATATTGTATGTTTTTTTATCTTAATAATGCACAGAATGATATTGATATGCATGGCTGATTAACTGGCTGCTTTGTGTTCGGGGGAGACCGAGAGTAGGTACGATAGGGAGGACTCCGGAGAGGGCAGGGTTATTGACGTTGCAATAGGTGGTGATGTAGGCCGAATAGTGAAGGGAGGGACTGGTATGAGAATTGAGAAACTAAAAGAGAGAGGAAGATGCAAGATGGAGAGTATTTAGAAAAAGAGGTAAAATACTATAACTAGGGTAAAAATGGTAATAAATCACAAGCAAAGATTATTACAAAAAACAGATACTCTCTTTGTCCCATAATACATGACACAGTCAAACATTGCACACATGTCAATGCATTAGTTTGACTTTATTTTTATATAATTAAATATTAATGAAAATTATTTTAAAAATTATATTATGAAACTTTATATTAAAACCTATCTAACAACATATTTTATGATAAAATATATTTTAATTATGTTAGTAAAAAATTATGGTCAAACCTAATGCATGAATAGTGAAAAAAAAGTCCAACATCTCATGTATTATGGGATGGGGGGGTATACCCAAGCTAATATGTAAATAACAAATATTAATACCTCTGTTTCCCAAAGTTTTACCCACTTTTCGTTTTCATCCGTTTTTCTAAGTTTGGCCCCGTTCACTTCATCTTATTTTTGCTAAACTGAAATTATTTTTACTGAACTGAAATTATTTTTGTTGAACTTAAATTATTTTTACTGAACTGAAATTATTTTTGCTGAACTGAAATTATTTTTACTGAATCTCTATTATATTTCTTCTTTACATTTATTGATTTTTACCAAACTGAAATTATTTTTGCTGAACTGAACTAATTTTTAATGAACTGAAATTATTTTTACTGGATATTATTTTTTTAAGGTGAAGTGAACAGGGCCTTATACTCATTTACTTTATTCCTTTTATGTCAATTTTTTATCGTCAACAACCCCTACTTTATTGATTTTTATGCAATTGAAACAAATAAACATGGTGGCTTAAATAATCCACTTTTTTTTTTAAGGCCCATATGGACCAAACACAAATAACCAGGCAAAAGAAAATATTGCATAAATAAGAATTTAAAATTTTGCATATATATATATATATATATATATATATATATATATATATATATATATATATATATATATATATATATATATATATATATATATATATATTAGGATTTTTTTGTCATAAACTAGCTAATAAATTTTAAATTTGTGAAAACTACCTAATATAAAATAAAAGTTGTAAAAAATCTATCTATTACCCTATACTAAAGGCGCTTCTCTCTCTCTCTCTCTCTTTTTTTTTTTTTTTTTTTTTTGGCAAAATCTTTAAGTAAACTATTTATACCATATGATATTTTCTTTCCATTTTAACAATCATATTTCATATATACCCAAATAAAATATTTCTGAATATCTTTTATATACTTTATATTTTGTAATATTATTGTCAAAAATATATAACAATCGTGCATTGCACGGGATTTTTACCTAGTTATCTAATAAAAGGTAAACTATTGTAAAAGACTATCTCTAACCGGATTTTTACCGGTGACCAAGTTTTTCGGCATTGACCCACCGCAAAATACCCTTGAAACTGCTAGCTTTGGGATAGGATGGTGGTTTCGGCTTGCTAAAGGCAATTTCAAGCAGGTTGTGTTGGTTTTGGGATGAAAGTGGGTGTTTTATGGTGGGTCAACGCCGGAAAATTAGTTCAACGATTGAAATCCGGCCAAAGGTAGTCTTTTTCAACATTTTACCTTTTAATAGGTAGTTTCTTACAACATTAATTTTTTTTATTAGGTAGTTTCTCATAAATTCTAGATTTTATTAGATGGTTTCAGACAAAAAATTCAAATTATTACATGTCACACTAACAATTTTTATAGTATGTAGTCTGGCTAAAAGAAATTGGCTATGGTGTCATAATTGTTGTTCGGTTTTGAGTTAATTAAGGTTCAACCCTAACCCAATCAATTCATCAAATGGAACGTTTTAAGTGAACCTAATTCATTAATAAAGAAAAAGTTGGGTTTAATAATCTCAACTTTAATTTGGCCGATTTTCTTTTAATAATTCCAAAACTTTGGAATATTATAGAATAATTCCAACTTTAGGGATATTATTAGTCCCAGATGATCGCCAACCTTAGGAATTAGTTAAATTTTCAAAAAAAAAAAATTATTAGCACATGTCATTTAAGGGTAGGGGAAAGGTTAAGAGCGGTTTATGGAGAGACGGAAAGGGAGATCAAGAGTGGTTTTCGGGCTGGGGTAGGGGAATTAGGGGCGTTTCGGGTGGTTGAAAGAGACGAAGGTTATTTTGGGGTCGTGGAAAAGGAAGGGGGGTTGTTTTCAAATATAAATATCTTTAATTTAATTCTATAACGCAGAAATTATATAAATGTTAGACCAATTCAACGGAAAACTTCAGTTGATATATGGCTGAATCCCAAAATTGGTTTATATACTCTATCACGCCTAAAGATGGCACTGGGTCGGGTCGGCCCAACATGAATAAAAGCACGGCACGGCACGGGCACGATGTAAGCCCAGCACAACACGTTAATGTGCGTGTGAGCCGTGGGCCGCCTTTATTTGGGAGAAGCACGATAAGGCACGGCATGACGGGCATGTTAAAATCAATGAAATTTTGGTTAGGCATGCAAGCTCGACACTGCCTGGCATGATGGCACGTGGGCTTGGGCCCGTGAACAAGCAAACCTTATGAAAACTTCGGCCCGGCACAGCACCAAAGCTCATGGGCCCGACACGAGGCACGACCCAGCATGGCCTGAAGCCATCTTTAATCACGCCCCTTCATATGAGAATGTCTTTACATCCAGCGCGAAATATTCCACTTAAAAGTGGGGGTGGATCGGATGAGATTTGAACCAATAACCTTTGAGTCATGTTGGCTGGCTCTGTTGATACCATACTAAAGAATCATCACACCCAAAAGGTTAAGATAATGGTTGAAGCACAAGATTAGTTTATATACGACACTATTAAGAAATAATTGATACTCCCTCCGTTTCACTGTGATTAGAATTTTTTACTTTCAAGTACAAGTCCATTTTTATTAAATAATTGTGCCACTCTCCTCCCCCGTTTTATTTGCGTTCTTTTTTTAAACACACCAAAAACTTGTGGTCATATTTGGTAAGTGGAAAAACAATACATTTGTGATCACATCCGCTAAAACCATTGTTTCAAAACACTAAATAAATAGATAAAAATAACTAAAACCATGACCATTAATAATATACGCAAAAACCTATGAAAATTTTACAGTGGTCGTTTGAAATATGATTACCATAATATTTAATGATTATGTAGTTCATAATCGACATTTTTTTCTCCAAGTAATAAATTATATTACTTTATTTTGGTATAAAATAGTATTATCATCAACATTTTTTATTTATCAAAATTTTAGTTTTATTTATGTAATTTTTATTATTATTTTATAGTTTCTCAAGAAATATTTATTTTATATTAGATTAAAATTTTTAAAATTATTTTTGTATTGTAAATATTAGAAGACTAATTGTGTCCATATTATAATGTGAAAAAATAAAACATCATATAGTTTATCATTACAATAATATGGTAATCCGTAATCATATTTTATACGACATCTGTAAAAACATCCAAAAATCTATACTCATTTTTTTTGGTGCATATGCTCTAATGTTTTAATTTAATCTTGTTTGCTTACATTAGTTTGAATAATGAAATGGAAATAAATTGCTCAACAGAGTGGAGTTCTTGATAAGAGACAACAATAACAACGGGACAAAGTTTATGGTGGAACTATACGATAATTTGGAACCCATAGTGCAGAATTTCTTAGATTTATGCCGACGACAAGAGTACATAGACCCCAGACTGGAAGCCATGCCCTCAGGAGGGGTGAGGTTCAAAGTCAACAACCCGGCGAATCAACCCCGTTTAGATATCAATCTCAACAACAATGTAGACGGCTCTTTATTCAATCAAGGAGCTCTCTTCATGGCAAACGATGGGTCCTTCATCATCAGCCACTCCTCGGACGAGGCTTCAAGTTTGAGGGCTCAATGTGTGACGTTTGGGCATGTGGTTCGCGGCTATAATGTTCTCCGGAATATGATGCAGGATGGCTACGTATATGTTGTTGATTGTTACACACTTTGAGTATCTCTTGGTAGCTATGTACTAGTATAAAACATACGCAAACCACGGGTGTTAAATTTTTTTTTTTTTTTTTTTTTTTTTTTTTGGAATTTTAGAGAGTTACAAGGGCGAGTGATGAGAATCGATCCCATGATCACCTGAAATCGGAAGGAAAGCTTTAACCATTTGAGTTATCCCTCACTCTCACGAGTGTTAAGATGTGATCACTCTAAAGTAAACGATGCCCACGATGAGAGATTACTATGTAAAATATCAAAATATAAGTAAAATAAAAGCATGTGTATGTGTGTATGTATATTGTTGTATTATACCAAGTATATATATATAATTCAAGTACGTGATGCATAATAATAATAAAGTTATAAAATAAAAAACCGACCAAGTAACCCCTTATAACATTGACGAAGTAACCCCTGTAATAATGATTAAGTAACCCCTATAATACTAACGAAGTAACTCTTATAATAACTAGCCACACATATGAAAATTGGTGTTGTATACATTTGTATTTCTCATAATTTAGAAAAATTTGTTAAAAACCATCTTATAAAAAACAGATTTTCCTGAAAACCATCTTATAAATTTTTTTTTGTCAAAGCACACCTATTTTAAAAAAAAAATTTGTGAAGTCCGACCACTCCTCGGATTCCGACCATTGACTGGGTTTTCGGTGTTGACCACTACTAAACTCCCCCCTTTCTTTCCCTTTAACCTCTTTCCCGCTTCACTACAACAACCAACAACCAACCTTCGCACTCTCTCTCCTCCGCCTCTAATGGCGGCCAACTCGGCAACCTCGCTCAGCCATTACCCCAACCTCCCTCTTAGTCCCAGAATCCATACTTTAACCTCAACTACAGCATCAATGGCAACCCAAAAGCTCCGTCATCCCAATTTCTTACTTCTTCCCTCCTCGTCGCCGACGCTACACTCGCCGGAATCCTAACAAGCGAAACATCACTTCTCAATCTCAATCTTTATTTTCTGATTCTAGTAAACTGCAATTTATACTTGGTGTTTATCAATTGAAATCCAGAACACCACTCTCTCTTCAAAGAACAATTGATTTGTATGAATATAAGTTTCATCAATTTGTGTCTTTTGGAATTAAGGTGGAGGAGTGGGAGTACTTGCCTGAATTGCGTCTGGCATTTGCTTTTGATGTGATTCTATGCTCAAGATCTGACCTTTAATGGTGAAGTTGAAGTCAGTGTGCTTCAATTGAGGTGGATGAAAAGATGCAAAGCAGAGAGAGGAAAGAATGGAGGAAGGCGGGAAAAGAGCAAAAAAAAAAAAAAAAGAGAGAGAGAGGTCACATGACTTGCACGTGCAAGTCAACGCCGGGAAATGCAGTCAAAGGTCGGAATCTGGGGAGTGGTGGGACTTCACAAAAAAAAAATTTAAAACAGGTGTGTTTTGACAAAAAAAAAATTTATAAGATGATTTTCAACAAAATATGTTTTTTATAAGATGGTTTTTAACAAATTTATCCATAATTTATATTAATGTTGAAACATACATTGACAAACATGTCTAAAATAATTAGTCAGCTATTATGTAATGGAAGAATTACGGATTTGACATTCGGTTTATTTTGTAGAATTTTTAGTTTTGCTTGTGAGATTTGTTCCTCCTTTTTTAGAAATGCCTTATGTTGTTTATAAATAACTTTATTCAAATTTATTTTTAAATTACTATTAATCCCCTAAAATAAAATATTAAAAGAAAAAGAGGGAGAGGAAAAATAAAAAAAAGGGTGTTTGTTTATAAATAATTTTATTCAAATTTATTTTTAAATTACTATTAATCCCCTAAAATAAAATATTAAAAGAAAAAGAGGGAGAGGAAAAATAAAAAAAAAGGGTGTTTTCCAGATTAACTATTAGATTACTAACTAAAAATTCACTATTAAAGATACAAAGTGATCATATTAACTCTAAATCATAAATTACATTTGCAAAGTGTGAATTTTACATCCAGAATAAATCGTAAATTGAAATTGATTTTTGCATGACATTAACTGGGCCTAGGGTTCATTTGAAAGTGCGCCTGTTTTCGCTGGGTCATGGCTCATGGCTTCTGTGGTCTTCTCATGGATTTGTGGCCGCTGACATTGGGCCAATTATACCCTCTTAATTTTTTTTTAGATTTTTTCTACTCTTCATTTTATTTAGGAAAAATAGAAAACAATAATTCCTACCTTTGACTAGTTTTTCAAAAACATTTCCACCTTCAATTAATCCAAAAATAATCTCACCTATTACCCTCATCTTCTTTTAACGGTCCTTTTGACTTATAACCTGGTTTACAGGTTAATAATTTTCTTTTTTTTATTTTTTTTTCTTTTTTTTTTTCTTGAATCTCTCTCCTCTCCATAACACCAACTCACTTCTACCACCAACACCAACACCACCACTGCCCTCACCTGCTCACCATCGCTACCGTAGGAGACCCACTCGAAATTTTGAAAACCTCCTCACCTCGTTCTTCCGACCAGTCTACCACTGCCCACCACGGCACCACCCTCCTCCAAACCCACACATAATCCCACCCACAAAGACCCGGCCACGTCCAGCCAACCACAACTCCATCCACCCAACCCGCACATCAACTCTCCCTCATTGCTAATCGCACCCACCACCAACAACAATGCCCCCTTGCCCAACCCACTACTCCCTCCTAAACACATAAACACCAAGAAGCCGCATTAAGTAAGCTGCTGCTGCAACTCTAATCCATCAGATCATCATTCTATCAAATCACACTAAATCATTTTAATCATACAATTCATCTAATTAGTTAAAAAATTTAGTTGTTGAGGAGATAATTCGTAACAATTGAAGGAAAAAGCTCCAAAATTAATAAGTCTTTCTTTTGCATTTTTTTTCCCCATAATTGGGCTTGATTGCTCGTGTTTGTAGTGGTTGTCAATTATTATGGGCGCTGTGTTGGTGTTTCTATGGAGGATGAAGGGAAAGGTGGCTGGTAAGCCAAGGGAGGACTGAGGAGGTGGGGCAAGGGAAGAGGGAAAGAGTTTTTTTTTTTTTTCCTTTTTTTTTATAGAATTTGTCCAATAGAAACTCAACACGTGGCAACTTACCTTCTCTAGCAGGTTATTTACTTATCAAAACCGGTCATGGCCTATTAAAAGAAGATTGAAGTCAAAGGTGGGATTATTTGAGAATATTCAAAGGTGGGATTGTTTTGGGAAGATCGAGCAAAGATGGGATTATTAATTTCAATTTTTCCTTTTATTTAATACTCTTTTCATTTTGTTATTAATTGTTTCATTTCTTCAAACACGAAGTTTTAAGAGAAATAGTAAAATATATTAATTTATGATGAAAGTGAGGTTAGTTAAAAAAAAAAAAAAATTAAAACGCAAAAGTGAGTATAAGTGGAAAGTTGAAAAAATATATAAAATATTAAAATATGATATGAGGATATCATTAATATGAAGGAAAATAAAAATTATATTGTTAAAAACTCTTAAAAAAATGAAATAAGTGATGAATAAAAATACAACTGTAAAAGAAAAGTGAAGCAATTAATAAAATACTCCCTCTGTCCCTTTATTTTTGCCCCATTTGACTTTACGCGGTCTCCAAGACATGTGATAAAACATTTATATCTCAATTTCCATATGCGTAAAAATTATAAGAAGTAGATATTAATTAAATTTATAATGAGACGAACCAAATAAGATCTTACATGACTATATTTCATTTTGTAGAACAACGAAAATTTATCATCAAAGTTATCAAAATTTGACCTACATTTTGACAATTGGGCAAACAAATAGGGACGGAGGGAATAATTACGAAGTACAATACTACAATCCTTGAATTCTATTCTGGCGCATGTGCAGGGCCGGCTAAACAGCCCAATTGTCCAATAGAAACTCAACACGCGGCAACTTATCTTCTTTAGCAGATTATTAACTTATCAAAACCGGTCATGGCCTACTAAAAGAAGATTGATGTCAAAGGTGGGATTATTTTGAGAATATTCAAAGGTGGAATTGTTTTGGAAAGATCGAGAAAAGATGGGATTATTTATTTTAATTTTTCCTTTTATTTAATACTCTTTTCCTTTTGTTATTAATTGTTTCATTTCTTCAAACATGAAGTTTTAAGAGAAATAGTAAAATATACGAAGTATTAATTTATGATGGAAGTGGGGTTACTTAAAAAAATAAAAAAAAACAAAAAAAAAACACAAAAGTAAGTATAAGTGGAAATTTGAAAAAATATATGAAATATGAAGGAAAATAAAAATTATATTGTTAAAAACTCTTATAAAAAATGAAATAAGTGATGAATAAAAATATAACTGTAAAAAAAAGTGAAGCAATTAATAAAAAAGGATGAAGTACAACACTTGAATTCTATTCTGGCGCATGTGCAGGGCCGGCTAAACAGCCCAATTGTACAGCACAGGCTTCTTATAAATTTTGGGCCCTGTAATCTGGCGTTTTTTTTTTTTTTTTTTTTTTTTTTTTTTTTTTTTTTTTTTTTGAAGAAACCTTATACGTAGTATAAAAGTAATTGATGAATGTTTTACGTAATGCTTTGAACAAAATCAAGTTAGCCGTGTTGGTCACTGCACACAAAAGGAAAAATGCTAACCTTGATATTCTTGGTTCGAACCCCCTCCCCCTAACTTTATTAATTTGGCCTTTGTAAAAAAGTTATACAAGTAGTTTTTATGCTTTCTTAATTATTTTTTAACTAAAGATATTATACATTTATACATACCAAACTTCCAACTTCCATGCCCTCAAACTCTTTTATTTTGGCTTTTTTTTATTTAAACTATAACTTTTACACTTTTTTATTTTTATTTTTTAACGTAAAGAAGAAATTATGCATGCACTGAACTTCCAACTTTTATTTTTAGCATACTTATTCATTATTAGTATTTTCCAGGGTCACTATAACTAACCGTGAAAACTCCTGTTGTTGATGAATGATGTTAAAAACATTTGGATTCTTTCTCGCCCTTCAAGTCCAGTCATATCTACCATGAAAGAAATCGAGCAGCTGCTTATGTTGCCACTCTTGGATCTTCTACTCCGATGCACCAAGATATAAACCCATACACTCATCTATGAATAGCAATTTTTCTTTTTCTTTTTTTTTTTAATTTCTAAGCAGATTAGAGTATGATTTTGTGAGAAGATGTCCCTAATCTACTCCATGTATCTTACTTACTAAAAATAATTTAGTATTAATTTTAGTGAATAAATAAAAAATTCTTTCTATGTTTTTTTATTACATAGAAATGTAAAGTATTTGAGATAAAAATGTAGGAGAACCTCATATTATTATTTTTTTAATAACACAGGCCCCCAAAGTTTGAGACGCTCTGCGCATGTGTTTGTTTTGCAATTTTGTATTTTCTTGGCCTTTATTATGAATATATTTCTAATTTTCGGATAGAAAGTTACAATAAGAAGAAAACAGAATTTGGGTAACCTCTCTGAAATGGAGAAGCCGAGACGGTAACTTCTATGAAGGCTCTCGATCTCCTAGAAAACCTAGTCCATCTTCTCACTTTTTCTTCTCTTCCTTTTTGATTATATTCTTAAAAAATTGATATAAATTTTGGATGTTGCTTAGAGCTTACAAGGAATCATACATCTGCTTACATACATCCGCTGGACCGGAATGAAATGGAATTAGAGAAATAATAAAATATATAAGTATAATAAAATAGAATGTATAAATGGTACGTACTTCATATTAATTACTCTAAAGTCTAGATATAATAATCGCACAATATCTTTACTAAGATAGACTAATGGCAAGAGATCACAAGTATGAGATTAATATATCTTAAACGGAGTATGAAGGATGTTCAAATAACAATATCATGAAAGGTTGAGATAATGTGACAATTTTAGTGATGGAGGGAGTAATAAAGAGATTTTTCTTAGTGCAAAAATTAAACACGTCTCTCAGTTTTATTAATCACTTAACTTCACTTTTTCCTCCACTTAATGGGTTTTAGGTAAGCTTTTGAAGACCACTTAGCTCAGCTCTTCATTTGGTAGTCGTTTATCAAGTCTTATTACTGAATAATTAATCACATATTATAAAAGGGTCATTGCCTATAATTACTTTATCCTAAGCCATTGTTTCTCTAATCTATACCAATCTCTGAGTTTGTGTTATCTTCTTCCAAATACTCAAGGTTTAGTTTTCCTTTCACCTTTTTTTTTTTTTCTTTTTTCTCAAAAGCTTCATCGTGATCGTATATTAACTGGTCAAATTAATCTGATGGCCTTTTCCACGGAGCCTGAACAAATCAATGTTGAAATAGAGTTGCTTGGTAAGTAATAAACACTCAAATATATATAGCTAGTCAGATTCTCGAATTTTTCTTAGAATTTTTTTGTTTCATGTCATGAGAAAGTTTGTAGATATTATCGTTTGTTAAAGCAATCCATACATCGTAGGTTACAGAAACTTAACAAGAACGTTGGCTCCAATACCACGTCAAAGAACCAAGTCAATTAAAAGTGTAAATAGATGATTAGAATCTCATATTTGAAATTATACGCTTTATTAATTAGGGTGTATACTTGCTAGATACAGAGTATATGATATTGGTAATGATATACTTGTGTAGATTATCGATGGGTACGTGCTATTAGTGCTCTTCACAAAATAAAGTACATTTCTTCTTTTGGAAGAGTATCTAGCTTAATGTAACTAATACGAGTATTACATAATGTACATCATGAATGTTGTAGGACGACGATGCTTCCAAGATTATCATGTACGGTTATATAAAGCGGCCTTCCATGGTGACTGGAAATCTGCTCATGAAATTTTTGTAAAAGATCCTAAGTGCTTCTCGGAAATAATTTCTAAAAATGGAAATACAGCGTTGCACATAGCAGCTGCAGCAGGGAAACATAAATTTGTTGAAGAACTACTTGCACATGCCAATTTAACGGATACACAATTGGTGCAGCCAAACAAAGCCGGAAATACGGCTTTTTGTTTGGCTGCTGCTTCGGGTGTGGTTGATCTTGTGAAGGAGATGGAGAAGCATAATTCAAACCTGCCAAATATTGGCGGGAATTTAGGAAAGAAACCAATTCAAATGGCCGCGATGCAAGGCCATGAGAAGGTGGTTGATCATCTCATGACTTACTTTACCAATTTGTCTCCAGAAGACCGCATCAATCTGCTCATCACTGTCATCGAAAAAGATTTATACGGTATGTTTGCACAATATTAACTTCCTCCGTTCTAGTAATATTGCAACAACTAGACTTTTATACTATTCATCACGCTTGTTTGATCACATATTATGATTTATACATAATGTAAAATATAGTCAAGTGGGATATTGTTAGATTCGTCTCGTAAAATACTTTCACCATATCAACTTTTTATAATTTTTACTCTTATATCATTATAGATATATAGCATATAAAATATGCTTTGAGATGCGGAATTTCATCCTTGTTGCAATATTTATGGAACAGAAGAAGTATGTAATAATTGTATAAGGGAATAAAATGTTACTTTTTCTAATAAGTTTGGTATCATTTTAGGAAACCCTCCCGGTCTCATGGGGGGAATTCCTAATGTAAGTTTGATATCACAGTGGTGATAAAATTATTTATTTGATTTTCTGTCAACTTGATTCCCTTAGTACATACTTAAATCACAGATGTGGCTTTGAAGATCCTAAACGAAGATGACGAATTAGCCATTAAGCGGGATGGAAACGCGGTGTCACCATTGCTCGCCTTGGCTAGAAAGACTCCAGTGATGAGCAAATTAAGTTATCTCGAGTATATTTGCAATGCACGTAGGTTCTCAACTACTCCAATATAATTCCAATTGTCCCTTTCAACTTATTCTAAATCATTCCATTCTACAATCTACATGGCCATATAAACCTTTTTTTTTTTCTTTTTTCTTTAATGACGGGTCTTACCTAAGAGTTTTGTTCACTAGCAATTGGATTTAAGTAACCAATTGATAATAGATGGAGTATGCCATCAAACTAATTTTTCATATGTTAGCTATCCTAGCTAATCTTTTTTCAACAACTCATATATAGGTTATTCTCTTAACATAATACTGAGTACTACTTAATTATCTGCTACAAGTACATTACTATATTGACAATATATTGATATAATCTTTAATTTTGTTACAGTAAAAAACAAATGGGGGAAGCAAGAGAAAGATCACAACGGCAAGCATGAATTGGTGCAACAAGTTTGGAAAAGAGTGATAAGAGAAAGAGATCATGAGTCAATCTCTAGTTTCTTATGGTTTCCGTCGCCTGGACTGCTCTTTGAAGCAATAGAGGTGGGCAACAATGAGTTCATCGAAACCCTTGTACGCGAGTACCCGGATCTAATATGGGAAGTGGATAAACAACAAAAAACCATATTTCATGTTGCTGTTGAGTACCGTCAAGAGAAGATCTTTAGTCATATATTCCATTTAAAAGATGTTAACCATTTGCTAACTGAATATGTGCATCCTATCACTGGAAATAATATTCTTCACTTGGCTGCCTCCTTACCTCGCCCTGAAATTCTCAATAAGGTCTCGGGTGCAGCGCTCCAAATGCAACGAGAACTCTTGTGGTTTCAGGTAATTCATGTAGTCCATCCTCCACTAACTTTACTTTACATGAAACAACTTATTTTATGGTCTCCGCCCAATATTTTCTTAAACTATGTGTCCAAAGTAATGTTTCAATTATTTCAAATAGAGGGAGTAGTTCATTTACGGAGTAATTAGTAAATATATATCCTTTCATGCCCAAAGAAGTGTGTCAATTATTCAAATATGACCAAAAAGTTAGAAATGGAAGTAATACAAAACTTAAAGGTCAAATTTGGCCATTATTTTGATTCAATAAAAAAATTTGTATAAAAATTCTAATAATATGCATCTCTATAATTATGGCAGGCTGTCAAAAGTATAGTACCATATCAATTTGCTCATACTAAGAACAGAATCATTAAGAAATCGAACGGGATTGTAACAGATGTAATTGAGGAAACGCCAGGAGAAATGTATACAAGAGTACATACAAACCTAAGGAAAGAAGGGGAGGAATGGATGAGGGGAACCGCGAACTCTTGTATGTTGGTTGCTACTCTTGTATCTGCCATGGTCTTTCAGGCCGTCTTTCAATCACCGGGAACACACAACAACAACCTGAAGTGTGCTTTTGTCATATCGGATGCATTGTCCTTGTTATCCTCGACTGCCTCAATCTTAACATTTCTAGCAATTCTATGTTCAACGTATGCGGAAGAGGACTTTCTAGTATCACTGCCGCTTAAATTGATTGTCGGACTTGCAACGCTTCTCTTCTCAATACTAACCATGTTGTTAGCCTTTACTATGGCGATCATCACGCAATCGCCCAACAGATCGGGTTGGATCATTGTTGCTGCTTTTGCTTGGATTGTTGGTGGTGTCTATGTGTGGTTGCATTTTCCGCTGTTAGTTATGGTTTGTCGTTCAACCTTTGGAGCAAAGTATCTTTTCCGTCCTCAGTATGAACTACTTCGTGATTAATGGATGACTCTTGCTCAATCCATAGGACTACATGATTTGATCGAGACAGCTACACTAGTCTAGTACGTAGCGAGTATCCTTCATTCTAGGATATTTTTTTCCCAAGGTAAGGAATATAACAACATTAAAATAGTTGTCACTTCACGCGGGAAACACCTAATGTATCACTAGGTAATTAGATACAAAAAACTTGTGTATGTACTATACTACTATGTACTCCGTAAAAGTATAATTGTAAGATTGTAAATAAACAGCTAAACTACACTTTGGGCCTAAACATGGATAAATAGACGCTTTGGGCTAGGTTTTTGCTAAAAAGAATTATTTTGGGCATGATCTTTGAACCAAAAATCTAGTCTTAACCCAACTAAATTGGGCTGGGCGCCTCGGCGTAATACTTGGGATTTCGAAACATTTTGTACATGAAATTCTGATGAGGTCAAAGTTAACGCAAATTGAAGGGCATTTTATATCCAGTTTTGGAGTGTGATGTGGATGACTGTGTGTGAGTCATTTTTTTATTGTAATGAAATTAAGCTGTGAAATTCATACTTTATTATATTATCAAATTGGATAAAATTTAAAAGTGGCTTAAGAAATTGAATAATTTCAAATGGGTACCTTGACGTTTGTATAATTAGATCGAGTTAACCTATAAAAAATGGTAAGTGAAATTAATATACTACCTCCGTTTAAAAAAAGTGGCTTAAGAAATTGGATAATTTCAAATGGGTACCTTGACATTTGTATAATTAGATCGAGTTAACTTATGAAAAAATGGTAAGTGAAATTAATATACTACCTCCGTTTCTGAAAGTTCGACTCAATACTATTCATGTGGTCAAAATAAAATAAGTTTAACCAAATTTTATGATTTATACTATAGAAATAAATTAGCAAATGGGATTTTATTAGATTTGCCTTATTATAAATTTTTCAAATATCAACTTTTTTATAATTTTTACTCATACATAGCCAAAGATATTCATGGTCAAAATGTTCATTGGAGACCACGCAAATACAAAGTGAGTCGAATTTTCGGGAATAGAGGATATATATTTTTCTAGTGATTGGAGATGTTAACCGTTACTTGCAAAAATTAAAGCCCAAGTTCAATAACAATTAATAAAACTTTGTTAAAAAAAAGAAAACTTTATTCGCAAATAGACAAGAAAATAATAGCCAAGGTGTTGCCACACATTCAAGCGAAGACTTGTTTGACAAGACAAACCCAAATCGTCAGCCAGAAAAGACCTCAGCCAACAACTATAAAACCAATTATCCAATAACAACACAAGTAAACTCAGAATTAGTACATTAAATTTTTTATAACCAGCATTAAAGTCATCAACCACTTATTATTCCCTACTTTTCATCTAATCCAAACAAGCTTAATTTATAATTAATACTTATATGCTGTGATGCACGGACACGCCACATAATAGGGGTGTCCGAGTCGACTCGCGTGTCCGACACCGACACGGGTGGGACACGGTACGATACGTCTCGGACACACCAAAATCCGTGTCCAATTCTTTTTTTTAAAAAACGATGCATGGACACGGACCGTGTCACCCCTAGACACGGCCCGTTTGGTAGTGGACACGCTAATTTTGCATTTTCCTCAAACCCTACTGCTCAATTTCTCATGTCCTCCTGCCTATCTCAAATTCAATCCTCTCTGCTTCTTTCTCTCGTCACTCAAACACCAACAAGGCAACAACTGGAACTTCAGCCTCACCGCAACCTAGATTGTCTCCGACTGCCGTCACTCGTCACCGGCTGACCGCCGCTCATCACCACTCACACCGGTCGCAGGTGTCATTCTCCGTCCTCTCTTTCTCGAATTTAACGGAAACCCCCTTTAATCTTTCCCGTCGCTCGTCGCCCTCGCTCGTCACCGCCGGTGCTCTCAGTTAATCCTCTCATTCTCGTTTTCATTTAAATTCATCCCTTAATTCTCGATTTTTCTTGTTAGAGTAGATTTTTTGGTGTTATTGAAGAGTTGAAAAAAATTTCAAAGTGTTGTGATGTATGATTGGAGGAAGACACAGAGAGATCGAGAAATGGGAGTTTAAGAGTGAGAAATGATAGATGAGAGGAGAGAGAAAGGAAGAAGAAATAGTGTTTACTTGAGTGTATTTGTGTACTTGTTTGTTTACTTGTTTAGATAGATGAGTACCGAATTTGTTTACTTGTTTTACGGTACTAAATAATTACACTGGTACGGACACTAAATAATTACTTGTTTTAAACAAAATGACTTATTTTGAGTTTAATTACTTAGTGTTTTATTGAATAGGTTGTCAAATTTTCGTTTTTTTAATATATTAAATGCCTAGTTATTCGCCGTACCCGTGTCCCCTATTTTAGGATTGCCGTTTTACCGTGTCCGTATCGTACCCGTGTCCGTGTCCGTGTCCGTATCGGTGCAACATAGCTTATATGGAGTTTAAAGTTGACGAACCGTACAAAAGTGTCACTATATGCCAAATGTTCATTTAGGTAAGCTTAATTATACTACTAATACTATATAATTAGTAAGTTGAAGCTAATCTACCATATATACATACATACACATACAAAGATACAATCTTCGAGTCTTCGTTGTTGCCGAATGCAGGGCCTATGTATAGCAAGTGTTACTAGTTAGTTATAATTGACTAATAAATGGCGCCAAAACAAGATGACATCGAACTTGGGTTCATTGATCATCCTGATCAACAGTCTGGTAAGTTTATATACATGTATACAGTGGGAATTTTTTTTTTAAAAGCATACGTGTCCCGACTGAAAATTCTATAGTGGTCGTTTGAAATATGACTACCATAATATTTTAATGATTATGTAGTTCATGATTGACGCATTTTTCTCCAAGTAATTAATTATATTACTTTAATTTTGCTATAAAATATTATTATTAACATTTTTTTAATTTTATCAAATTTTTAGTTTCATTTATGTAATTTTTATTCTTACTTTATGTTGGATAAAACTTTTCAAAAATTATTTTTGCATGGTAGATGTTAGAATACTAAGGTGAAAAAATGGATCGCTTATATTGTTTATGATTAAAATAATATGGTAGTCATATTTCAAACGGACGCTATTTACATTCATTGATATTGAGTTGTATTTCTTCTTAACAAGCTAAGAGTGAGTTGTTGATGCAGCTAATGAAAGAGAGCTGCAGCAATACAGCAAGGGCTATCAAGTACGCTTATATAGAGCGGCTCTATGTGGTGATTGGGAGGTCGCAAAGAAAATCCATGATAAACATGAAAATTGTTTTATAGAGGTAATTTCGAGAAATGGAGATACTGCTTTGCACATAGCAGCAGAAGGCGGACGCTGTCATTTTGTTAAGGAACTACTACGAGTATCCCAAATTACTGCTACGCAGTTGGAGTTGCAAAATAAATTTGGTAATACTGCTTTCTGTTTGGCTGCTGCTTCTGGTGTGGTTGAGATTGTGGAGGAAATGGAACGACGAAATCCAGAGCTGCGAAACATTCCTGGGAATAAGGGCATGAAACCTGTTCTAATAGCCGCTCTACTAGGTCATGGGGCGATGGTTAAGCATCTCATGCCTCGTTGCTTTGATCTATTGTCGCATAAGGAACGCATTGATCTACTTATTGGCACAATCAACACCGATTTATTTGGTACTTAAACCCTTTGTACGCATAATATATTGATAGAGTATAAAACATAAGCTGAATGGTTGAGGCCCAGAAATATGTTTTATACTCTATCACATACAATTGATACAAGAACATATATATTCCCTCCTTTTTAAATACTTGCTCCACTTTTCATTTTCGGCCATTTTTAAATACTTGTTCCATTTCCTAATTTGGAAAGTTTTTTTAATATTTAATTCATTTCTCTCAACTAGTGGACCCAACATAAATCATATTTTATAAATTTATATTTTCTCTCCTCCAATTCTCTCAACTACTTTTGCTTTTTACAATCTCTTTATTTTTTCACCTACCCCACTACCTCCATATTTTGTTACTTTCTTCAATTTCTCCTAAAACTCCGCGCATAGAGAAATGGAGCAAGTATTTAAAAACGGAGGGAGTATGAATTATGTTAGTGCAAGATTTATATATATATATATATATATATATATATATATATATATATATATATATATATATATATATTATTGTTGGTGCAATTCAGATATTGCTTTGGAGATACTTAATAGGAATGAGCAACTAGCTATTGACAAGAATGGACAGGGAGAGACACCATTGCATGTCTTGGCACGGAAGAATCGAAAAAAGATTACAAGTCATTTCAATTGTTGGAGACAATTATGCAATATGTGTAAGTTATCGACCAACTTATGTTTAATTCATTCTTATTGATGGAATATTAGTTATGGTTAAATGCTTGAATATTCTATAAAGATGATCGAGTATGCCCTAGCTCAAATCTACTAGAACCTCGATTTCTGGCTCGGTCTCTAGCTCGACCTATATGATCAAGCCGTTGTATTGGATGTGGACCATATGGTTAAGTTGAATAGCGTTATCACTCCATTTTAGTATTGGGCCTCTATGGCCTAATTTTAGTCCAAACACAACAAACCCAATTTATACCTGGCAGGCCCAAGTCAGGCCCATTCCTTTATGCAAAAAGTGATCAACATTTTGTAATGAAAACTAAATATCCAAATAATTAATATAAATCAAGGTTTTAGATCATCCATAAGAACATTTAAATTGTACACTGCATTAATATAACTAATATCATTATTATGTTTAAATTATTTGTTTCAGTTACCAACTTATGGAGGGAGCAACAAAAAGATCAAGCTAAACTTGAATTGGTTGAGCGCCTTTGGAAAATAGTAATACAACAACCTCATGAGAAAATATCCGAGATTCTATCTCACCCTCAGCCTCGACTGCTCTTCGTGGCTATAGAGTTAGGAAACTACGAGTTTGTGACCACACTAATTCGCCATTACCCGGACCTAATATGGGAATTAGATGAAGAAAATCGAACCATATTTCATGCTGCTATCCAATGCCGCCAAGAGAAAATCTTTAGTCATATTCGCCAAATAGGTAGTATCAACCATTCACTTGCAGCTTACAAGAATCCTAATAACGGAAATAATATTCTTCATCTAGCAGCCAATTTACCTTGCACTGACAGACTCAACGTTGTTTCTGGGGCTGCCCTTCAAATGCAACGTGAACTCTTATGGTTTCAGGTGATTGTTTTTCTCTAATTCTCTTCTCGATTTTGCTATTTGGTCACAAACAATGTTACTTCTAATGTCCATCCATTATTTAACCTAGTGTATCCAATATAAACCCCTTAAAGCTTAAGAAAATATGTAGATCGACGTAATTTGACCCAAAATATAGTGTAAGCATTTCATGATTTAAGTTTAATAAAAATAAATATAAAAGCAATGAAGAGAAGATTGGTCTAAGAAAATTTGATTTAGGGACGGATGGAGTATTTTAAAAGCTACGTACTCTGTAATCAAGCTTAACTAATTGGTTAAACTTGATTTACTCAGGCCGTTGAAAATATTGTTCTAAGAAAATTTGATTTAGGGACGGATGGCGTATTTAAAAGTTACTTCAACCTTAATCAAGCATAACTATAACAGCTTAAAATCGATGCACACAGGCCGTTGAAAATATTGTACAACGAGAATATGCTGATGCAAAAAACAATCCACCAATCTCAAACAAAGGAAGATCTGAATGCAAAGAAACACCTCGAACATTGTTCACTAGAGAGCATAGATTGCTAAGGAAAGAAGGGGAGAAATGGATGCGAGACACTGCAACTTCATGTATGGTTGTTGCAACTCTAGTCACAGCAGTCGTCTTCCAAGCAATCTTTCAACCACCTTCACCTAGTAATAATAACCAAAACAAAAAGTTATTTTGGATGTTTGTAGCATCGGATGCATTTTCATTATTGGCTTCAACTGGCTCGATCTTGACATTCCTTTCCATCTTGACCTCAAGGTACGCCGAGGAGGATTTTCTAGTATCGTTGCCTCTCAAATTAATAGTTGGGTTGGCATTACTTTTCTTCTCTATAATGACAATGTTGTTAGCCTTCACCGTGGCTATTGTCATCATCTACCCACAACGAATGTTATGGATAACTATCGCTATCCTAGCATGGATCATTGGTGGCTCCTATATTTTGCAGCATCTTCCATTGTTGGTTGATGTTTATAGTTCAACATTTGGATCTAATTATATTTTTCAACCTCAACAAGAGCTCTTTCGAGATTCATGAATTAAGAAGCGAATGTAATTAAATATTTCGATAGTTAGACCTTATATGTAACCCGAGGGTTTCATCTCATTATCTCTATCATGAGGGTTTCAAGATTGTTTATAGGTGATGTGATTTATTTGTTGGCCGTAAATAATTGTCTAACTATTGTATGCGCAACACGTAATAGTCTATTGTATCTTGTACTTTGGTTCATGAGTATATATACATATCCCTTTGTTCAATAATAATGGATACACTTTGATTTTTACCATTTTTTTAATACGTAATATTATATTTTGTCCAAAATAATTTATTAAATAAGATTTTGCTTGATTTATCTTAATGTATATTATTGAAATATTAATTTAACTAATAATGTATGCGTTTTGATTTTTATTTTTTTTCCTCATTTTAAGATTTTAATATGAGCAAAACGTACTAAATGAGTAGAAAAAACCTTTATGTGCACCTTGGGTGCATATATTTTTTTTTTTTTTTAATTTGAAGTCATGGGTGTTGTGGTGTGGCCGGCCGGTGTCACAATCAAGGATCCAAGTTGGCCAAGTAGCAAGGATTAAAACAAAACTTTTGTTGAGTCAATGGTCTCTTTTTTCTATTTATAATTGATTTGATATTGATAAGTGACAACAAATGGGAAAAATTAAATAAATACATCCAAGATTAGAGACATCATATGATCCTGGTTGGGTCTAATCTATTTCAACTTTGAATCATGTTAATTATTGTGCCCATACGTGTTGAAACTAGCCGACTTGCTTTCTCGTTGGGTCAGATTAAGTATTCAATTAAGTCAGTTTTTGACACCTCTATCCATAATCGCCTACTTCTACTTCATATCATTTAAAAGTAACACTAAAAAATAAAGGAAAAAAAAATGAGGAGTCAATATAATGTCCACTTGATTGTAAATAATTGCTAGAAATCGTTACACCAATTTGCATTTTCTTTGAATTTTTTTAACAAACGCTATGATGCCTTATGATCATATCATAGATGTCATGGTTGATTAAGTTTCATTTTCACGTTTCAAGCTCTCTATTTAAGCACCTACTCTCAGTCAACCTAAACCAGCCTCGCGAATTCATAATAATTAATCAACATTGCTAGCATCTAATAATGGAAGTTGGACAATACAGCGATGATAGTTTCGAAAATCAACCACAGGATATCTTTTCTCTGTTATCTGGTATGTTTTCTCATTTTCTATACCGTCTCTCTTTCATTTTTCATGGATAGACAAATTTTCTCTTTATAATCACGTATAAATTCTAACACCATTATTATTTCGTGAATTCGATATGCCTCTCTAATATGTATATACTGAAAAACGGAATCCAAATGAAGAGGAAAGCTTGGCTAAGTGCTCAAATGGTTTTTTACTCTATGGCGCTGCACTAAAGGGAGACTGGAAAACTGCGAGAAAACTTCATTCAAAGCATCCAAACTGTTTCGCCGCTGTGGCAAGAAGCTCTAATATTGTGGTATATTTTATGAAATTATGCACTGAAATTGATGCTACAAATGACTTGGCTTCGATCAAGAACACAAGCCTTTGTCTAGCTTTGGCATCTGGAACTGTTACAGTTGCGAGGGAGAGGATTCGTGTCCAGCCTGAGCTGCCACTGATTCGAAGTCATAAAGGTTTGACGCCATTCCATATGGCCACTTTGTTAGGCCATAGGGAGATGGTTAGGTACCTCTTACCACTCACTCTAGAGTATCTCTCAAACAAGGACCTCGTCGATCTCTTCATTAGTACTATCAAGGAAGAATTATATGGTATGTAACATTTCCTCAAAAAAAAAATAATATGGTATGTAACATTATTACTATGTACTCGGTATACATCAAAACTTACAAAAATAAAACATTGAGCAAGTGATGACCAAAGTAACTTTATGAAAATTGATAAAATTCTAAATGTCAAAGAAACGGATTGGAGGTAATACATAGAGTATATCTTACATTTAATTTGTAAAACTTGTCTGAGAGTTTGTAGATCCTTTTGATATAATGACCAATATACCACTATGTACGAATAAATGCAGATATATCCTTTCAGATCCTAAACAACCGTCCTGAACTGGCGCTGTATGATAATGAGGAGGCACCGCTGGCGTTGCAGGCTATGGCAAAAAGCCAGTCGCTAAAGTCTAATGGAAGTCGTCGAGGACATCGACTTATTAGCATCTGGAGCTACTGCTGCAACTTTTGTTAGTATTTCCTTAAGCTTAATTTGCTTGTACTAATATAGTTTATTTACCTTGCTTAATAAATAGAAATACTTGTTTCATTTCCATCGGTGTTTCTACCAACTTACCAAGTAATTGAACCACATATTCAATCCCGTCTTAATAAATACTTGTAGTACTAATGTTTTCTTTTTTCTTACCAAAATATAAATAGAATTAAATAATTGAAGTGCATATGCTTATCAATAATGAGCATACAAGGTATACTATAAGCATGCTAAACTTTATTAATTATTTAACATGTATTATTAGGCTAAGAAATTATATAGTTCATACTTCTACATTTAATTTTTACTACAGTTAAGAGAATTGGAAGCCGTAAGGAAAATGATCTACAATTGTTTAAAGCTCTTCTACTGGTAGTACGTTTATGGGATGAAGTTTTGAGGCATCGACGAGATTGCAATAATGTACCAAAACTGATGAGTCCACATCCTTGGAAGCTATTGTTTACTGCAGTAGAAGTAGGCAATGTTGAGTTTGTGACAACGATACTTAGTTCTTATCCCGATCTGATATGGAAACTGAACGACGAACATCAAAGTATACTTCATGTTGCAGTTCAGTATCGCCGAGAGAAGATTTTCAGGCTCGTTCTTGAGATAGATGTCGTCAAAGATTTGCTTGCAATTTGTGTAAATGACAGTAATGGAAATAACATCCTTCATTTGGTTGGCCTATTATCTCCTGATGTTTGTTACGGGTTAAGACCATCAAATTCAGCCTTTATCGTGATGCATCGAGAGATGCTATGGTTTAAGGTAAATTACGTATCTTCTTTACTCTCTGAATTAAAATTAGTACATCCTTAAAATATACAAATATCTAAATACATGATCAGGTGGATGAAGAACATATTAAATTTATAACTGATGATAAGTTCGACCAGGAAATTGTCAAAACTTATCAAACAATGAAGTACATAAGCTTATTGTTCATGGATATAACTTTCAATTGTGCCAGGCAATTGAAGATCTTGTACAGCCCCACCTTGCACTAGCTCGGAATTTTGATGAGGAAACACCGCGAACTTTGTTTACCAAAGAGCACCAAAAACTTAAGAAACATGGAGAATATTGGATTGTAGATACTGCAAACTTATGTATTACTCTTGCCATCCTAGTCACTTTTGTAGTGTTGATTGCAGCACTTAGATCGTTTGTAAAACCTTTCAGTCACGGGGCATGGCATTGGGTATTTGCAATATTTGATTCCATGTCCTTGTTATCATCTATTGCTTCAATATTCGTGTTTTCATCAATCTTGACTTCAAATTTCGCTGAAGAAGATTTTCTCCACTCATTGCCTCGCAAGCTAATGGTAGGCCTCACGTTGCTCATCATCTCAATAGCTACTTTGGTGATAGCACTCGCAGCAACACTTCCGTTTATTTTTGAATTCGGCTGGCTCTATCTTGGCATTTCTGGCCTCGCTTGTCTTCCAATCATCGTCTTTGCAGGAAGCGATCTCCCTGGATTACTCGAGGCTTATCCTTCAACTATTGAATGCAACTTCATTTTCAAGCCTCAACACCATCAACTCTTTCAATAGATTTGATCAGCTTAAATTTCCCTTAATTGAATATTTGAATGTATCTAATCCTGTTCTTCCATATCTGTATTTCTTTTTATTTCGTTTGGGTAGGACTAGGGAGTTAAATAACAGCAAACCCATCAAACTACAACTTTTAAATACGATGAAACAACATAGTTTTGGGTGCATGTATATATTCTACTTGTAATGTATAATACGGAGTATCATTATTTAATCTTGTATTCCGTATGTCCAGACTCCTGAACTTTAAATACTTTACTACATGATCAATATTTCAAATTTGAGAAAGTTTCAATAACTATTTCTTCATTAAAAATTAAAAAAAAAATAATGACGATGCAAGTACAACTTAAATAAACAACAATCAATAATAAAAATGTCACATAGATATATATATATATATGCTTAACTTCAAACAGAATACCTCCTAGAATAAAATTATTAGTTATCAAGAACATAACACGAGTTCTTTCTTAAGTTAAATCTATCATGGAGTAGAAGGTAGAACTATAGAATCGGGTGGATGAATGATGCGGAAATACCCTCTTCGTTGTCCACACATGTGATGAATCACAACCGCGCCAACTCATGACTTCTTTTAGAGTTCCTCTCCTGAGGTTATACCTAACCAATCCATCACCATAGGTCATCAACAAAGTATTAGGGTCAAATGGATGGAAAGCCAACACTTCATTACTCTTAAACTTTTCAACTTCCAAACCAAACCACATCATATAATGTTCTAATCTCCAATTTATATGGCCTGATCCATATTCCTCGAGCTCCCATACATTAAGAATATTATTAAAAGGAGCACAACTTTCCAATTGGCACAGCCAAATCAGGCCATCAAACTCCCCTAGACAACGAGTGACTTTCGCCATGCTTTGTGGAGGCGGCACTTCAATGAAGGTACATGTTTCGTTAGACGAATCATAGACTAGAACATTCCTTTCTACCACCCAATGTAGTTTATTATTTACGGCGATTGCACTCGTACTAGAACACCCTCCATCATTAAACAACTTCCTTTTCGGGGATAAAAACCAAGTCCTCTTCCACTCCTCCACCTCAGAAGAAAAAACCTCGATACAAAAATATTCACTTTCATGCATCCAACTACTCCAACACGACGACACACGCACCATTTTATAACTCAAAAACAAAGCACTATTTGCGACAAAAAGCCCATAAGCAGCCGGCTTTTGTATAGTTAAGACAGGAGGTACTTGTATGTACCGCCTCATGATAGGATCCACAATGTAGTAAACGGTTTCACTTATAATGCCAATAGGATTAGAAATAGGAGGTTCGCTACACACTAAGAGATTATTGTAAGACATGACTATATGTACGGGACGAAAAGGGTTAGTACGGTTGTAGCAAGGAAGAAAAGATAGGGATAAACCAAGGGTTTTGAAACCGGGGTGTTCGGTGAAACCATAGAACACGAACCCATCTCGATTGACTTGATACTTATCATAATAATCGAGTTGGAAGATGAAGGTAAAAGGGGAGCATATACTATAATGAGAGTCTGAAATTAAATTGTACCATTTTTTGCAAACACATTTGCATTCGACTGCCCATATCCATGGTATCCTTTCTAGGATTTCTAATAGCACGTTGTCATCGAGATTGTCGATACGATTATTATTATTGTCGTTGTCGTCGTCATCATCTTGTTGGGATTGTCCCCTTTTCTTGGTCATGGTTAATTGTTAAGGAATAAAAGTAGACATATATTTCTATGAAATTAGACTTGCTGAACTTTGGTGACGGCTACAAGGATCAAGGGTTTGGAGATATGTAATTACTAGATTAAACCCCGTGCATCTTGTTAAATAATTATAATAATAATAATAATAAATTTTACAAAAAAAAAATTTTGATATAAAATATTATAAATAGACTTCGTATTAAAAATTATGAAATATATGTGAAAGAAAATAATTAAACATGTAATATGAAATAGTTATTTTGGGCAATTTAATATTTAATGAAGTTTAATTTAAATTTTTTTACAAAGAAAAAGTCATAATTTAAATACAACCCTAATTTTTATATTAGGGTAAGTTTTTTTTAGTAGGTTATTTTGGAGGGAAAACTTTTTATACTATGTTGTCAAGTGTCCCTCAAATTTCGCTTTTAGTATAATGTATAATTAATTGATTATTATTCCAATAAAAGCTACAATTTACATAATTGTAAAATACAAAGTATAAGAAGTTTTGGCCTACTGACCAATTGTTAGACTTTAGTTCTTTTCTTATGATAAGGAATTTTTATTTTTTTTAATTTTTTTTTAGGAATAGTTTAGCTCACCTTACTTGTGATTATTATTTTCATTGATTTGATCTGATCTACTTAGAACATATTATTTCTGATCTAATTTAATGTAAACTTTTTTTTTATTTTTTTGTGCCTAATTTACTTTTTGAACAAAATCAATTCATTAATATACAAATAAAATCTATGTCAATAAATATATAAAACAAAATCAAACAAAGGTTTCCTTAATCAAAGCTACGAAATCTTGCAATATGGTACATCCCTCACACACATCGCTATAAATAAAGATCCTGAACAATAAAAATGGTAAATATTTTATAGAGTACCTTTTTTATTTTTAAATATTTGTCAAGATTAACATTTGGTTTAAATAACCTTTTCCAAGTAATCCTTTAAATTCTCTAAAATTAATGAATTCCATAACACAGAAAACCCCACTAGTATAAGAACACCATGTTGATGAGGCCAAAGCATTGTTAAGCTACCACCAAATTAAAGGATTCACCAGTGGGTATATTGCTCCCCATTCATCCACCACCACTTTGAAAGTACCACTTTCGAGATTATATCGAACAATTGTGTTTATGGTCTCCAAGTATACAACATCACAATCATAGGGATGAAACATAACCTTGAAAATATTTCTCAAGCTCTTCTTCAATGGCCAAATAACAGGGTAAATCATCGTCGTAGTGATCACTTTCATGCACACAACGGTCCAAGTGCTCTTGCTATAATCATCGAGTTCCCACACATTCAATGTGGCGAAGGAAGATGGAAGCTTAGAATCATATGCAAATTCCGTCAACCTAAGTCTCTACTTGCATACTCCTAGAATGCATTTAGTAGGTTGTTGGCTCGGCAGTTTGATTAGGAGATACCGTGAAGGCCAATACAGCTTGTTGTTCACAGTTTCAGAATTAGAGTTGTGAAAATAACTAAGGTGAAGATCAGACTTCAGGGTTTTGCGATATGTGCTCCAAGTACCGCTTTCAAAAGAAAATACTTGCAAAATATTATAGGGAAAAGTTGATTTTGATATGATGCGCACAAATCTAAAACCTCCTTCACCCTTAACACTGCTAATGCCCTCTAAATTTCCAGCACATCCAATTGCTACCCAATTCCATCCATCAATAGCAATGTAGTAAATAGGTATTTCAATTTCGATATATTTTCTAGTAAATAGATTGCAGATGTAATAAAGTGCCTTCTTTCCACAAGAATATCTACCGTGGTTACAATAAATCAAGAGATCAGAGTAGGAACCAACTATGTAGGAGTTGTAACAAAAAGGGAAAAAATTGAGGTCCAATGGGGGATTTTGGGATTGGAAAAACGGGTGCTCGGATATTTGGGAGGTTTTCCAAACACTTCTTCAAGGGACTATAAATAATAGGGTGAACCATTGTCGTACTGATCACTTTCGTCATGCACACAATGGTCCAAGTGCTCTTGTTATAATCATCGAGTTCCCATACATTCAATGTGGCGAAGGAAGGTCCAAACTTAGTAATATATGGTCCCATACATTCGATACCTTGAAATATCATTGCTATATGGATCAATCACTAGAATACTGTCATATAATAGCCGCTTGTTGTTCACAGTTACAAAATTAGAGGAGTGAAAAGAAGTAAGGCGAAGATCAAACTTTAGGGGTATGCGATATGTGCTCCATTTACCACTCTCAAAAGAAAACACTTGTAAAATATCATGGGAAAAATTAGATCTTGATATGATGCGTACAAATTTAAAACCTCCTTCACCCTTAACACTACTAATGCCCTCTAAATTTCCAGTACTCCAATTGTTTTCAAATTACCTCCATCATTATTGTAGTCAATAGGTATTTCAATTTGGACATATTTTCTAGTAATTGGATTGCAGAAGTAGTAATAAAGTTACTTATTTAGACGAAAATATTGAGTATGATTACAATAAATCGAGAGATTAGAGTAGGAACCAACTACATTGAGCTTGTATATATGGTCACAAAAAGGGTGAAAATCGAGGTCGGATGGGGGGTTTTGGGATTGAAAAAACGGGTACGGTGCTTGTATATCAGGGAGGTTTTATGATGCATGGTTTACGACGTAAAGGGTGAAAGGGAAAAATAAACTTCGAAGAAATAAGGTCAAGGAAGATGGGTTGATAGATAATGTTGTTCCATCGCTTCGAAACACTTCGACATTGAACCAAAAGTTTCCATGAGTCTATTTTTGACAAGATACAAGAGCAATATATCACCACCTAGTTCGTCTATTCTTCGAGAAACAAAATTGTTTTCGTTATCGTTGTTGTTGTCGTTGTTGTGTCTCGTGTGATTCTTATGATGTTTGATGATTTTTTGAGTGTGTTTTTGTCGGAGTTTTTCATGGATAGATTTGGACAGAGAAGGAGATAATTGTTTAGGATTGTCAAGAACAAGATTCAGAGCATTCATGATGTTGTTCTTGTTGTGTTGATCTAGAGAACTTTATGTGAAGGTGTATTCGATATTGATGATGTGATGTTTTAGTTGCAATATTTATTTACATACTCTAAGCTAGACAGTAAACATACTTCATATAGGATTCTATTGGTATATGTTATTTTAACTGAAAAAGATAACAATCTAATGTAGAATTATAAAATTTAATTGCCAAAATAAGCAAAAACTAACCAATGAAATTCGAGAATTTAAATTATTTTTTATTAAAAAATAATATCTTTTAATTAAAGGATTTTATCTAAAAATCTTACAACTCAAAATAATGGAATAGTATCACAAATTTAAAATTATGTCCAAAAAATTTGTATATCTTTTACAAATATTGATCAAAATTATTTCAAGGGTATAATTAATTTCAGAATTTTACTCCGTAATATTCAAGCATCACTTTTTTTCTTTTTTTTTTTTTTTTTTTTTGGAGGAAAACAAGCATCCCATTATTAAATGATGATGAACGGATATTATTCCTAAAAAAATAGGCTTCTAATTATTTAAAAAAACAACTGCATTCGAGACAACTAAAATCATCATGAACAGCTCATTATCAAACAGAAAAAACAAACTCCGTTCAAAAAAAAAAAAAAAAAAAAAAAAAAAAAAAAAAAAAAAACAGAAATCACAAGCTCTAAATTACTGTTTCACTTGGCTGTGTACTGATGACGGCCAGCAGGAATGAACCAGAGGAAAAACCGTGAGAGTACGGATAACAAAAGTCGGATCACCGAGACACTTGCTAACTACATCCAATGTTCCCTTCCTCATATTGCATTTCACTATATGATTATGACATCTCAAATACACAACGTCTTCATCTTTTGGGTGGAAACTCAGCACAAGATTGGTCGAAAACTCGAGCATGTTAAACTGATAATCACTAACAAACACCATCTCCTTGAGGCAAATCCTGTACTGTAGGAGCCATTCCCCCTTATCATAGTCTTTTAGCTCCCAAACCTTAAGCATCCGGTTCGGGTGCACCCCTTTTATTGTGGACATCCTGAGTTTCTCCCTACAGGTTCCTAGACAAACGTGTGCCATCTCAAACTTTAACTCAAAGGGAGGATCGATTAGCCTGCATTGGCCATTGATGCCACTAAAAGGATCTAGCACAATTATGGTTTCTCCATCATTACCGTTAATAATCCAATGTAAGGCATTGTTCAAAGTAACAGCACTTGTCCTAAACTGCCAGATTCGGCGTATGCTCTGTGGGCAGGACAGCAAAGACTCGCTCCACTCCCCTGTATCAGAAGAAAATATCTCAGCAATGAGATGACTACTATGGGAGCCTAGCTTTAGGATCCGAACCACCTTGTAGTTGAAAATTGGAAGAATATCGCCATAAGTTACCAAACCAATGGCCATATCATCTTCTACATGGCGGCCAGGGATTGGTGGGAGAGCCCGCCATTGCTTTGTTAGAAGATTGCAAACATAGTACTTGCTTTGATGAGAAAATAATTTGTTGTCATGACACACCATGAGGTCTCCATGTGATGCAAGTATGCGGATAGGCCATTGATTAGGGTGTTGGAAGCAAGGAAGAAAGTCTAGGAAGAGCTCTTGGGATTTAAGAATGGGATGCTCGGAAACTACATGGAGCTTCCTAGAAGCTGTCTCGGCAAAATGGTGATGCCAGTAATAAAACTGGTGCACCAATGTGAAGGGTGAAGAATGGTTAAGGCTTTGGTGGTGGACAAAGCTACGAATGAAGAACGGATCAGAGATGAGAGAAAGCCAGCGCTTGCAGACAGTTTTGGATCGGACAGCAAATTGGCAAGGCAGCCTTGTAAGGATTTCAATAAGCAAGCTATCTGGGAGATCATTGATTTGCATTGTGTCTATTGAATCTGTTTCATTGAAAGATGCTAAAAAAAAGAGTTAGCTAAATTTAGAATGGCTAAGGCTTATATGTTGACATTTTCTTGATAGGATGCAATTTGAAGACGTGCTTTCAGATTGATGTAATATTCTATTACGTGGTTCCCTCAATCTTAAATTATGGAAGTATAAAACTAAATTAATGGAATCTACTTTCTTTCATGTATTATTGGGATAATTATGAGTTAGTGAGGATCCATGATTAAACTTGTGCCTGAGACAAATCTTCCTGCACTTACGCTCAAAAAAAAAAAGAGTGGAGCTTGGTCGACTAAAAATGAATATATATATTGTAGGGGAGGAGTTCCTGAGGCAAATTGGGAAACAAGAGGCTAAGAGACCATCTTAACTAGTTTAACTGTGAAACCGAGCCAAATCAAACTTGCACATAGAAACCAAAAGCTACACTAAATAGAGCAAATGAATCTGGCATGCCAGACGGAGTCAAGCTACGTCCATCACAAAAGATTTACTGTCTAATCTATCACGGCTTGCCTCATTTCACCTCAAAGTACAAACAAAGGCTACAAAGCGAGTCAGATACCATTACATATAGCATAGAGTAAAACAGGGTAATGTTTTTGAGCTTCATTTACTACCCAAGTGAAATTATATTTGAAATTTTATGCTATTTGTATAAAACTGTTGTAAATACTCTTATAGATTATTACTACATATATGTATGAATTACCAAAGAAAAATTTTCATACCTTAAGATGTTCGATCTTAGACCAAATAAATAAATAAACAACTAGAGTGTGCATTAGTTATGAATTGTCAATGACATCCATCATGAGTTTAAAGTAAAGAATAGCAAGCAAGCTTAGCATATACTTCAACAGCTCAACTTGATTCCAAATATTCAAAAATTACACCAAATTTAAGAGAAAAAACACTAGAGTGCTAAACAGAGCAGCACACATCCAAGATCTACATGAGATCTTACTCTGCAACAAAATTCAGATTTCAAATTCTTTCGGCTGAGAGCTCATTACAGTACTATGCAATTTCAGGACAGGGGTGAAGGGATCAGCGATGGCCAACATGGATGCATAAGCAAAAAGACACCACATGTTCCTACAGAGAAACTCGAGTCTTGCAAACACTCACTGACCACTTCCAGTGTCTTTCTTCCTACATCACACATCACTATCTGATTATTGAATCTCAAATACAAAATCCCAAAGTCAACTGGATGGAAAGCCAGCGCCTCCATTGTCGAAAATCCAAACTTATGAAGACTTACATTCTCAAAAAATGCCATCTCTTTAAGACTGGTCTCGTATTCCAAGTCCCAGTTTCCGGTAACATAATCTAGGAGTTTCCAAACTACTAAGAGACAATTTGACCACCCTCTAGAAATTTGGCAAACTCTGAGATAATCCTGACAGAATCCTAAGCAAATTCCTATGTCAAGATTCAACTCAGCTGGCAGCTCAATTACTCGGCATGATCCCTCAGCTAATTCAAATGGATCAACCACAACAATATTTGAGCTGTTCACCAGCCAATGAAACTTGTTATTGACAGTAATTGACTCAGGCCTGAACTGCCAAGTCCTCGTGAAACTCTGAGGAGAACTTATCTTAAAGTTTCTCCACTCACCCACCTCAGAGGAAAACACGTTCACCTCAAAGCAGTTACCATTACTAACACACGAGTCTAGTTTAGGGACTTGCACCAGCTTGAAGCTATTTAGAGAAACAGATTTTTCACAAGTAATGAAGCCAATAGCAGTATCTGCTACTCTATGGTGGCCTGGGGAAGGTGGAAGGTTGAGCCACTGCTTGGTTAAAGGATTGCAGATGTAGTATACACCTTGCAATAAAGACATTTTAAGGTGACAGCAAACTAAGAGGTCTTTGTGGCAGGCCACCACCCAAATGGGGTGTGATTCCCAAGGTCGGAAGCAAGGGAGGAAACCCAGGTGAAATCCTTGCAACTGAAACTTCTTGTGCTCTGAGACCATATGGAAGTTGTGATGAAGGTGATCACTGAGACAGCGATGCCAGAAATGAAACTCGTAGACAAGGGTGAAAGGTAATGCATGATGGTCATGGAACCGAACAAAGCTCTGGAGAAAACAAGGATCAGAGAGGAGAGAAAACCAGTGTTTGCAGACGGATTTTGCTCGAAGGACAGAGATGCTTGGAAGCCTTTGAAGAATCTCAACTAACAGGCTATCATTCAAGACATTGTTAATGCTGACAGAAGCACTAATTGTCGAGTTTGAAGTAAAAGGAAGCTGGGCTAAGCTTAATTCTCCCATTTAAAACTTATTGCTGTTTAGTTGCTGAGATTTTGTCTGCTTTTTAACTGTGATTTATTAGATTTATTATTGATTGATTATTTTTTTCCACTTCAAAAGGAATGGACGTGCTCGCCTTCTTGTGGGGCTAACTTCTGCATGTACAATTATTGTACATGCTTGGCACGACCATATACAGCACTAATCGAACTATTTATCAACAATTATATTCTTAAATTAAGTAATTAAATACTTCTAAGTAAATGTTTGGCACAACAATATTCTCTATACATTACATAAACTATGGACTTATGCTACAAGTTTGACAAGATCTGTTCAACCCAAAAAAAAAAAAAAAAAAAAAAAAAAACATTCTTGAGAAATCATTGACCTATTATAATAACCAATAAGCTTAGCCATATAGGTGTACGTGACACCAAATTTAGCATTCAATCTACCACAAATTCTTATATTTTCTATAATAGATTCTGAGACATCTTGGTTCCAGATTTTACAGAATATTCTTCATATAGCACCCGAAGAAAAACAAAATTATCTATGATTTTAATTGTTACAATACCTGGCATAATTACACTTCCATAATTACAGTTTTCAAAGAAAAAGAACACAAAAAAATAAAATATTACGCAACGAATAAAGAAGATAGGAATGTTGCACGAGACATGCATATAAATCTAGCAGGAATTCTCAGGAACAAAAAAAGGATGCTCAGAGTTTGCATTTTAGTAAATTGCCTCCAAGATGAATGAAGGGTTAGAAATTAAAAGGGACAATTATTTGCAATTACATTTTACAGAGTCGTTTGAATAAAGAGCCTCATGAAGATCACAAATTCACTAGTATGGAGTAGTATTCACACAACACAATCAGCATGGAGAGTTTCGCTATGGTGAGCACCAGAGTATATAGAACAGACTGGACAGTGAGCATAGAAATACTATGAAACATACCTTTATTGTAATTGCTAGACATGCTGTCTCCTAGTATGGGAGTAAAGGGTACTGGATTGCTTGACATTGTGCTTGAAGCAGTCTGAAATTTTTTCAATATTGCAATTGTTAAGCGTGCTGTCAAAACTCGAAAAGATGGAATTTTTCAATTGTGAGCAATGGGGATAATTAATTAATGCTATCATACTTAGATCAGATACAAAACTATTTATTCTGAAAATAAATTATGAAATTTTCATCTGTCAGAAACAACATCATGAACAGGGCAAGATTAATACCAGCTCACAAGATCACAATTCACACAAGTAATGAAAGGAGATTTAATTGTGTATAAAAATTTTCATACTGGCCCCAAGTTAACTAAGTGATACATAAACAATATTAAAGAGCTGGATATTGTGTCTACCTCCCAAGAAATGTTCCCTATACAATTATCCTCAACCACAACTGATGCATCAACTCGTCGCAATCACTTTCCAGTACCACCAGACGGTTTATATATTGGAGCACCAGTTGTACCCCAAGCAGAGCTGCGTTTGCATCTCTGATACATGGCTCCTGTTTTGTAAGACACCATTTCTTTGTATTGTGGATGTCTTAAAGAAGTTTCCCAGTGGGCTGCACCAGCCATAAAATTAATATAAACATTTGGCACATGATCAATGATGTGATAATGCTGGCCCGTCTTTGGGGTCAAGTCATCCAAAAATTCCTTGGGCATATCATGGAACCTGAGCAGAGTTAAGTTCTCGAGGTTTTTAATGCTGATTGGTACCTCCTTCAGCAATGGGCTCGGTCCAAGTTCCAGCTCTTCCAATACAGGCAGAGCCCCCAGCAATATTTTCAACGATTTAAGATTGCAGAGATTGTAAAGGCGTAGCACCTTAAGTTTTTGAAACCTTCTTGCACTAATATGTAGTTGCTCACCATCATATGCCTCACAAACTATAAGCTTTATCAGATTTGGCAACGCTCCGATAACTTCAAGCGGATCATGATTCAAACTTGAGTGACATAAGACCAATTTGACAACATTTTCGAGCATTGAAATCCATTCCGGTAGCTTATCTAGCCGTCCCATCAAAAGTAGGCGGCGAAGCATAGGAGGAGAAGACATACGATCTATCTCAAGCACCTCGTCCTTGTTTCTAGAAGCAATCATAAATTCTTCAAGGTGATGCATGTTCTTGATTGCATTACACAAGTTCCTCCCATCTTCTCTCGTGAGCTGTGCGACTCCTAACCTTCTCAACTGCTTCAAATTCCCCAACTGGTCTATGAAACCAGCTGAATGACTCACGTCCACCCATCCCAAGTTCTGCATTTCTTGGGAATTTCGACAAAGTTCAGCTGGTACCTTTGCAGCTTTCACATTTTTCACATACAAACTGAAAGTATCATCCCAATGGTAAGAATATGACATGAGGTGTCTTAAATGAAGAAATTTACCTATCTCAGCCGGTAGCTCTTGTATGAGGGAATGTTTGAGATCCATACTTTGAAGGTTCCCAAGTTTGCCAATGGATCTTGGTAGCTTCTCTACCTTAGTCCATTTCAGGCTCAGATACTGCAGGTGACGTAGACTTCCTGTAGCTTCTGGGATGTAATTTACAGGAGCATTTTGAAGATCAAGCACTTTTAAGAGGTGTACAGCCCTTAAAAATGAGCCTGTCATGAACTTTGGCACGGCTTCATGTTCCAAAAACAGAAAGAGAGAACGGACACCTTGCTTTCTAGCCATTCCCTCAACAACCACCTCAGTACTAGTTCCCTGCTTATCATTCTGAATCACCAAACGCCTACTTTGAGCATCCATGGACGAGTTTTCCTCATTGAGAACCCGAAAAAAGCTGAGTTCATGTGATTTCAAAAGTATTATTTCACGAAGGAGATCATGGACCCGTATATTCCTGGGTCTTCCAGAGACATCTACCCAGGTAACATGCACCAAACTTCTACGAATAAGTTCAATCAAAAACTCATTTGCTACCGCTTCAAGTGTCTTGCCAGATTTCCTTGGGATAAAACCCTCAGCCATCCACAGCCTAACCAAACGGTGGAGCTCAATAGAATGATCCCCAGGAAAGATGCCCATGTATAAAAAACAAGGTTTCAAGTAGTGAGGCAAATCATGATAACTGAGTAGCAGAATTTTCTTTAGGCTGGCCAGGTGAAGATTACTTGCCAGTTCTGCACCAATGCTGTTGCACAAATTTTGCCACTCCATCACAATCTTGTTTTTGGTTGATAACAGACCACCTATGGTAACAATTGCAAGTGGCAATCCTTCACATTTCCTGACTATAGCACGTGACAAATTTTCTAGTTCCAGAGGACAATTTGCCTTAAGGTCTCGGAATGCTTTCCTACAGAAGAGATCCCACGCTTTTTCGGAAGACAAAGGTTGAAGCTTGTAAACGTGATCAAAAGATGACCCCTTCCATGCAAGAGCAACATCTTCAAGGCGTGTTGTCATCAATATTCTATTTCCATTGTTATTAGTGGGCAAGACATCTTTAATGTATGTTTCAATAGACCAAACATCATCAAAAACAACAAGAAACCTGCAAAAAGAAACATATAGCTTGTACAGTACTTGTTTGGAAATTTTACTTTTCAAAATATCTGGAATACTTAGAAAAATGAATGTTAGCTAAACTTGAGACCCAAATAAGTCAAAGTGAGTAACATGATGTATTACTTCTGAATAATAACATAGATATTACAAAGGGCTTCAAAGGATACCAGTTATTAGAAATAAAAATAATAAGAAATAAATATAAATAAATAAATAAAAAATAGGTGAAAAAGTATCAAAAAGATAAAAAAGTAAAGACTTGTGACTTTTGATCTCAATCAAGGTTAATAGTAAGTCAAGCTGGGCATAAACCTTCTAAGCTCAAGCCTCAAAGCCAAGTTAAGTCAAATTTGAGTTCAGCTCAACTCATTAATCATTATAACCCTTGTACACAATAACTAAGAATTCAAATTAACCGCTACATACCTTCGTTCTCGTAGGTAGTTCCTCAATACTTCAATGAGAGATTCTTCATCCATGTTACCAATCTCAGGGGGTACACAGTCCCTGGCAGATCTGTAAAATAGGGTCAGCATGTTCCTTATTACATGTATCGTTTTATTAGGTTGAGAAAGAGTGATCCAAGCACGAAGAGGAAAGTGCTTCCTCACATACATGTCCTCGTACAATTTTCTAACCACTGTTGTTTTTCCTAGGCCACCCATACCAATCACTGATATCAACTTGCCTTGTGGAAAATCCTGAGGCTCCAAGTCCAACATCCTAATTAAATCCCTCTTGGGATCATCAATACCCACAAGCTCAGATTCGTCAACATAGAGAAAGCCTGCTCGTGGGTCTTGGTCTATGTGCTTGTGTGGATCTTCATACTCAAGTCCATTTGAAGAGCTTGGGCCTCCACCAAGGGTGAAACTGCTCCTCCTTTGATTGATTTCCAAAACCTCCGACCGGACCCTTCTTATGGTGCTTGCTATCTGATGTTTTGGCCTCAACAGAAACACACATCGGGTTAGATAACTAAAGATGTTGAAGCACTGATGATAAGGATGGTCGTGAGGATATTGAAGCAGCAAATGTTCGTCGATCACATCTTCAATTTGATAAGCTATGTCCCTCACTTGTCTGACCCATTCTTTGACACCATCATTTTCCTCTGCCCTTAGCTCCGCATCCTTGAGGAAAACTTTTATGCTTCTGAGTTCATTGCCGATGGCCACCAACTCTGTGGGTAAGCCGCTTAACATGCCTGCTTTTGCAGTAATTAAAGGGACGAGCTTGTCCAAAACAAAACAAACTACAGTCTCTGCCATATATTAGAATCAACTTGAAACTCATAAAATGCTGCCAAACAAACAAGAAAGCTTGCAAATCAAAGTTCCTTTTCACACATCATCCACTAGTAGAAGTGTTTTGAAGGGGGGGAAGGGAGTAGGTGGGAAAAGCACAGAGCATATAATAAGGAAATCTTCCATAAGTTTTTGAATCCAGTGACCTCATTGACAATGGCCTTAAACTGCTGTGTCTTACCGTCAAGATGTGCACCCAATAGAAGCACAGTTTTCCTCAATCTTTTATGTAAGTATTACACATTTTGAGTTGTGAATGATGTCTCATTTTATAATTCCATAGAGTATAGAATATGATAGCAGTAACCCAAAGTGCTAAAAAGTATAAAAAAAAAAAATGCTAGGCTTTCTTTATTTTTTTATGTCAAGTGGTAATTTGAATATAAGAGCAACTATTTCTGTTGAATCTGTCAATAGAAGTAAAAATTAATCTATTACAAGTTTCAGCTTTTTAAAACTCTAAAATAATAAATAAATAAATAAATAATAATAGTAAATTAAAAAAATTAGAAAAAAATCCTTAAAAAATTAAAATATAAAAAATAAAATAATAAATAAATAAATAAATAAAAAAACCCTGTTAGACATAATAGAATACACATGGTATACACTTTTAAAATTCAACAAACATAAAGTTCATTAATAGATCCTATGATCCTAAAAAATTATACTACATTAGAGATCATAGGGTATGAAATTTTGATCATAGGATCCTATATTCCTATAATCTATCCCTTTGTCCCTAAGGAATTGGTCACATTCAAAATTTTAGTATATCAACCTTTCTATGTACCCATAGTCCCATGCTTCCCTAAATTATACCCTTAAATAAAACGTATATTGTAGCATAATGAGATGTAATAAAAAAATACATTAAGAAAAACAATTAGGGTTTCCAACTCAATTTTTAATATGAATACCAACAAAATGTGAACTAACAGACAAAAGTACTATGTAGAGGAATCTGCTATTAGTGAGTCACTTGGATGACAATAGCCAACTAGCTGAATGAGCCTAAGAGGCCTGCCTTGTGAAATCAGCCATTACTAAGACTGGTGGCCTTTTTTTATATCCATCTTGACCATATTTCACCTAAAAGAAGGATAATATATTCAACAGAAATGTAATTAAGTATAGAAACCACTATTTTCCTGGAAGTTGGACAAACTTTTGTCCAGATTACATCCCATTGGATGTTGAATAATACAATATCCAAGAGTTGTACTCATTGACAATTCAACCAGCAAGGTGCATCAACATGCTTCTCAAAAACCAATTGGCACCACCATTTTGATTTTTGATGACTCGAAAACATGACAACAAATGAACAAACATCATCCATAGAGCCTGACTAAATAAAAATCGAATACTTATTACTAAATGAGATCTAACTCTCCCACAAAACTGAGTTTTAAAATAAAGTTTAGGCTAGAATTCGTACGACTGCAGAGAGACTCATATCTCACAAACAGTAGGTGAAATTTCCACTGTTCTTCCCAAATAACATATCACCATTTGATTAACAAATCTCAAGTAATAAATCCTAAAAATCACTAGAATGGGAAACCAGCAGCTCCACTACCAAAAATCTAAAATACAAGAAACATAGATTCTCAAGAAACTCCATTTTCTTTCATACTGATCTTGCATACCAAATCTCATAATATCCACGATATGTAAAATGCAAAGACCCACCAAGAATATAATCAGCGGAGTATAATAATATCTCTAACAATATTGCAGCACTTAAATATATTATAAATTACCTTATGTATTGATTGTACATATACCTACATTTGACTGCCACATACCTCCTCACTGCCAGATGCACCATAGCACAAGCAAGGCTAGAAATATCTTGCCCTACCTAGAATGCAATAGAAACGGCAAAATGGTTTGCAGTTCAGCTAAGCTTAAGACATCTACTTGCTTTAACAAGGCATGACCAATGGCCCATGTAAAAAACCAACCCGAAAAAGGAAGATGGGAACCAAACTGCAATGCGGTGGGAGGACACAAGCTATCCAAAATACCTTGATAGCCTTGAAAACAGGAAAGTGCCCATCTAATTTGCTTGTTTATCCTCATTTTCATAGAAGAATTTGAATGTTAGATTGTTAGACCCAAAATTAGCTACAGGACGCAACTTAATTGGAGCAAAGCATTAATCATTACGAATCATGATTGTCCCTTTATTTATTTTAAAACAAAACTCTACAACAATTGCTAAGCTAGTGAGGTTAGAGGTTTAAGGCCTCTCTGCTATGATTGAGGATCACTCAAGGATCAGCCAGTTTTCCTATCTAATAGTATCCATAGCCTATAATATGCAACGAATATTTCAGTTACCGTTTACCAATACCAATATTGCACGCCCTTTCTCCACAACCAAATCATGTCATATTAATCAAACCATTTAAATCAAACATAACAGTGTAACTCCAGTATTATCAAGACATTAAATTTATCATCTACATTTAAGTAAAAATTCAACAATTCTGAAAATGAGGTCAAGTCCGCCATAATCAACCCATAACTAACCAGCTAATTGAACCTACATAACTTCAACCAACCTAATCAACCCAACCCAAACACCCGATTTGACAGCTCTACCCGAAACTCACCATCAATCATAACCTTCCTTCAAGTCTATCACTGTGATACCTCTATGATGTGTATCCCAGCATGACCGAACCAAACACCCGGTAATTCCATAATTTATTTTAATAATAGAGAGTACATTGTGACTCCTCCTCAAATGACATCATTGTATAACACATTCCACAAACATATACTACAATTAGCAACCAGATCATTTACAAAACAATTTCACATACATAATTAGCTAAATCATTTAGAATAACAATTTTTATACTACTTCGCGCAGTCAATTAAATTAATTAATATACTCCATACTTCAAATCGTTTCTAGCACAGAAAATGACAAAATACAGCTACAATAACATCGATAATTGAATTACTAATTAAAGATTTACTGCTAATTGGAAAACAAACAAAAATAATCTTAAATTTAGGTACAAAACAAAAAAGAAAGATGTATACCTTGAAATCAACCACTAAAATGGAGCATCTGACAAACCCTAATTCAGCGATCATCGTCACCTCCAGCGCCACCAGACCAGTTCAAAGACCGAGGAATCACTCCGGCGGTTCCTGCACTGATCACGGTGGCGCTGGTGGTGCTGGAGATTTGATAAGCCATAAGGAAGAAAAGCTGATGGACGGAGAGAGGGAGAATATGGTAATTGAGCTGTTTTTTTGCTTTGGGCTATTAGGCTACGATATTAAGCTTTTTGGAAATTAAGACTAACTTATTAAATAAATCTAGCTCCAATATTAATCCTACTAGCACGATAAGTGTAATTTTTTTAAAAATAAAATAATAATTATATCTAACAGATAGAAGTGATTTCTTTAATATCAATAATATGAATTAGTTTTATTACGGAGTATTACTTTTTCGGCAAAATTTAATATTACTTGGTTTATATAATTAAAAAGGAGTTAGAATAATATTTTTGGTAAATGTGTATAGAAAAATTATGTATACCCGAATGATATTATTATAATTGTATCAAATGTTCACAAAAAAAAAAAAAAAAAAAAAAAGGAAGTTTTAGAGGGAAAAAACAACACTAGGATGTGACATGTGTCACTCTCGGTGTCTGTTTTAGTATTAAGTTATTGATGATATGATCTAGACTTTGGGCGTGTTCAGTAGTAGTTTTTGAGTAAGTCAAACCACTACTTAATAAAAAAAATGATATGTGTTTGGCAGTATAGTGGTTGGAGTAGTGTTTACTGTTTAGTGGTGGAGGTAGCTTTATTAAAAGTTATAAAGGTGGCTATTGAAAATTTAATAATACGTATTATATAGATTTAGAAAACAAATACTTGTATTGATTTTTATATGTAATAGCTAGTCAACCACTACTTTACTAAACACTTATAATTTAATTATCTATTTTCACAACTAACAGCTTATTGACAGTTAACATTACTTATACAGTTAACAGCTATTACCACACCTAACAGCTACCTCCACAGCTATATTTTTTTTTTTTCAAATCACAGGTTATTTAACTCTAAGCTCTTTATCATTTCTTTTTCAAATAACAAAAATAGCTAATTTGGTGGTCAAACAATCATCTATATAGCAAACTAGGCCTCACTCTTTTTTTTTTTTTTTTTTTTTGCTCGAGGCCTACATCATCCTTATTAAAAATCTTACTATAAAACCTTATATCGGGTGAAGAAAAGATGACCTAAATACTCCTTTCATATTTTATTTATATTGTGTATTTTGAAATCATCATACTTATAATATAATTTCAAATCCATCATAAACTTCCTACAACCCTCAAATGGAATTTGTACATTTAACATCACTAATTGAAAATCCCATCCATATCCAACATGGCACTAAACTTATGAGATTAATTTGCCAAATTTCCCCCAAAATGTCTAATTCACCTTGCTTTTCACTTAAATAGGCTTTAATTTTAAAGATAAGCTACATTCACGTACACACATGACTACGTGAGTGACCTTAATCATAAAATCATTGTTTATCATTTTATCATGGAAAATCACCAAAGATCAAACATGATTATGCTCATTTGATTGAAAAATATTTTCAAAATGTGATCCAATCAATATGTCTCATTTGTTTTTTGTTTTTTTTTATAAAAAAAAAAAAAATTGCCAAAAAACAAGGAAATATCTACTCCATCCCTTATCCAATATTATCAATTTTATTCACGGGTCAGTGGGTCCCACCCACAACCCACCGTTTTTTTTTCGGATTCAAGAATTTGAACATAAATCCGGATAATATGCCACGTCAACCCCCTCTTTCTTCAATCTTCCAACCTCACTCACTAATCACTACTCTGTACTGTACTCAATTTCTGCAACTCAACAAAAAAAATCTCAACCCTTTCATTACCCAGAAAATATAAAAAAATGGCAACTTTGTGTGCATCCGCCATTAATATGAATCCAAAACTCTCAAATCCTCTCTCCAATTCCATTAATTTATCATTAACACCCACTAATCTATCTTCCCTTCGTTCTACTTTCACTAATCCTTCTTCTTTGGGACTTATTGTTGCAATTAAGAGTGTTCAAATCACCAGAAACAAGCCTAATGTTGTTTGTATGTCATGGGATGGTCCTCTTTCTTCTGTTAAACTTATTCTTCAGGGCCGTAATCTTGAGGTTTTTTTTTCCTAATTTCCATTCAATTTTTTGAATTTCTCTTTGTAATTTCTGTGATTTTTTGGGGTTGGGTTTTGAATATTTGGTTGTTTGGTTATCTGGGTTGATTATGGATTTATGGTTGTTTCATGCTGTGTTTATGCCAAATTTGTGAGAAATTGTTTAAAGTTAGTATCTTTGGATGCTTACTATGTAGTCTGATGAAAACTTTAAAATTGGATAGATTTAATGTAATTTGCTGGGATTTTTTCTGAATTTGTGTGTGCAATCTTCAAAATTAAAGGCATATGATATTAATTTTGAGTATGATGAACGTTTATGTTATGAGATTGCTCTTGAATTGACTATTGTTTTAGGTACTAAATTCTAGTAATTTGTTGAGATTGTTAGTAGTGTTCCTTTCAGTATATTGGTCTTTTTGCATTGTACAAAGTATAATTATATTTATGATGCATTTGAGCAGCTCTCTTTCGTTTAGCTATCCATCCTATATTCAAGCTACTCTTGTATTATTTCAGATAGCCTAGAATGATTATTTGAGTTCTCTGAGCATCTATTTTCAGGTTTCCAATATAGGAGTACCTGATTAAAAAAATATTGTGGTTGCTATTATAATGTACTTGTATTAGACTGTATACAATGATCACTTTTGTACTTCCTCTATTTCTAAATAATACGGAGTAGTCCACTATTCTATTTTTGGTCTGCCTAAACTAATATGCCACTTTCTGTGTTCTTAGCAAGGAATAAAAAAGAAACTCTTAGTTTAATATGGTGGGGATGTAGATTTTGATTAATGAAGGATAAGTGATGAGGTTTAAGTAGTACATTTACTAATTCTATGGGAAAACTTTTGAGTGAAAATGTTGATGACAATAAAGAGATGAAGGTTTTAGACTGGTGTTGTGATGTTGTATTATATAACAGATGAAGATTTTTAGACTGTTGTTGTGATTTTGTAATGAAAATTTGATCCTGAATGTTTGTGTTGCAGTTATCTGATAATGTTCGAAGCTATGTGGAAGAAAAGGTTGGTAAAGCTGTCACGAAGCATAGCCATTTGGTGAGGGAAGTGGATGTGCGTTTGTCTGCTAGAGGTGGACAGCTTGGTAAAGGACCTAAACTAAGGAGATGTGAGGTACTATATTTCACCCTCTTCGTTTTCACGTTGTTTCTCTGTATGCTTTACGCCTTTACATGAGTAATATTCTTATTGAAAGAATTTGTGTTTAGGTCACCTTGTTTACCAAGAGGCATGGAGTAATTCGAGCTGAGGAAGATGCTGAAAGTCTCTACGGAAGTATTGATTTGGTCTCCTCGATAATTCAGAGGAAATTGAGGAAGGTTAAGGACAAAGTATCTGACCATGGTCGACATATGAAAGGCTTCAATCGCTCAAAGGTGAGGGAGCCTGAGCCAATAAGAATTACTAGAGAAGAAATCTTGGAGGAAGAGATGGAAACAGCCCCTCCTGTTTCTGTTGAAGATGATGACTTTATTGAAGAGGTTGGTTTGTTGCACTTGCTAAGCTTTATTTCATGGCATGCCATTCTTAATCTTACTGACCTGATATTCTTCTGCATATCAGGTTTTATTAATGCTTAACTTGTGCATATCATGCTTTCTTAACGCTTACTTTGTGCTTATCAGATTTTCTTAACGTCTTACTTTTATCTTTGAACTTTTCCCATCAGGTGGTTCGTACAAAGTACTTTGACATGCCACCCCTAACAGTAACAGAAGCTGTTGAACAGCTCGAAAATGTTGATCATGACTTCTATGCTTTCCGAAATGAAGAAACTGGTAACCAACCTTGGCACTTTACTCTTTAGCTCACTGCTTGTCTTAAATGTTTCCCTGCCAATTTTGTAATTTCGGGTATGTTATACACACAGGTCAAATTAATATTTTATACAAAAGGAAAGAGGGAGGATATGGGCTTATTGTTCCTAAGGACGGGAAAACAGAGAAGTTGGATCCTTTGCAAGTTCAAACCGACAAACAACCCTCCTTCGCAGAATAGGCTGAGGTTGCTAGTCTTGGGTACTAATTACCTTAAAGAACTCAGTTTTTCTTTTTTCCTTTTTTTTACTGTAAAAACAATCAAGGTTTGAAAATCAGGATGTGGACTCCATGGAGAAGATTTTGGATATTAGAGAATCTCCAGTTGTGATTATCCTCCTCTTTTTGGATGACCTGTTTGTCGCGGTGCTATACTGCTATGTATGTATAGAAACACTATCCATGTTAGACAATCTTGTAAATGCATGAATTAGCTATTTATACTTGTTTGTTCACTGTCTATTCTGTTGGCTACAACTCTGCATGTATCAATAGCTCTAATGCAGCCTGGTTTAGAATGAGGTCGTTGACGTTATATAACTACAAAGTACGGAGCATAATGCAAGCTTGTTAAGTAATGGCTAATAACTTGTGAATAGCAAAACATTGTTGCATTGCATTACAATTACAATCATTGTCAAGAAGGTGATATATTCTTTGGAGTTGATTAATTTTCTTGGATATAACTAACGAAAACATAATATAGATTTGCCCATATTATTATAGAGCATGATCGAAGAAGTTATACAAAGTCAACCCTATACAACATAACCTTAAGGGCAAAGGGGGAAAATTAACTTCTAGAAAAACTCAACACTAGCGACTAAGATAGACAAGTATGTGATAACTTAATTAATTCTAGTATTTATTCAAAAAACTTAATACTAATAGTGTTTAGGGGGCAATCATAGCTCTCACAACCATCTCAATATCATTGGTAATCACTATGGCATCCTTTGATGCACCTTGTATTCCCATTCTTGATAATCCAGCACAATACAACTTATTTTTTCCTTTCCAGTGATTGGGGAAACGATTCTTTGGAAATCCATTATTATTCAGTATATAATCATAATCCTACAAAAAAAAAAATACAATTTGATAAATTGTTTATGCCATAATAATATAATATACTTTGGATGAGCTTAGAATAAAATTTTCATAAATACAAATGAGAATATTTTTTAGAGGAAAATACAAATGATAATATTAAGAGAGCAAGATTAATTATAATTAAGGTCACATATATATAAGGTTAATATTGTGCATACCTTTAACCAATCACATGCTGTGCTTTTAAATCCAGTTGCAAATATTATTGCGTCAAAGGCTAATTCAACATCATCTTCAAATATGACTTTGGTCTTATTAATCCTCGAAATTCCTTGTAAAACCTATAAATTTTACAAATAAGAAAAGAATTAAAATACTCGTAATAAATTCACATAAAACATCAAATGCTATATATTATATGGCCACTTGGGTTTTTATGGAAAGATTTAATCTAGGGTATAAGCATGACGAAATTGGCTATGCAAAAGATACAACAATACAGTAGAATCTTTGTTATATAACTCCATTAAATAACTTTGGTAATGAAATGGGTAGAGTTTCGAAATATGGACATATTTACAGTACATATTAGGTGCATATTTGAATTGTCAATTATTTGTCCCCAAGTAACATCAGGGTGCAATTTTAGAAATAAGATTTTCTTTCCTCTTGTAAAATAAATTATACGGACTACAAGTAAATATGTATAATTTCCTTAACAAAAAAAAAAAAAACTGTGAGCAATAAACAATAAATATATACAAGCCAAGACATATATACAATACATAGGTGCATTTTTGAATTGTAAATTTGTCCCCAAGTTACAAAAATATTAAGGGTAAAATTTAAGAAATAAGATAGTCTTTCCTCTTGTAAAAATAAATTATACAAGTGAATATAAATCATTTCCTTAAAACACTATGAGTAATAGAAATTAATAAGAAGTAGGAAATTTACCTTAATGTCACCAGATTGAATTTTAGCAACAGTTCCCACGTCAAGAACTGGGCTCCTTCCTTTGGTTGCCTTCAGAAAAAAGGGACCTTCATTTGGTCGATGAATTTCATAATTGGACAAGTTTCCATACTTCAACTTGCTAGCAAAAGTGACTATAGCATCCACCGTTGATACGGGGATGTATTTTAGCAAATGCATTCCAACAAAGATCATTTCCCTTGCAACTACATGAACCTACATGTATTAACAAAGGATTAGCTTACTACTTCCTATATAACTACTCTTAATTTGTGTTATATATATAATGGATTCAATAGATAAGAATTAAGAAGTCTAACCGGATTTCTAATAACAATTGAAGTTTTGGCTCCTGAATTGCATAAATCATAACTTATTTCCATCCCAGAATTACCACATCCAACGACCAAAACATCCTTATCTTGAAACTCACGACCACACTTATATTCACTAGAGTGCATGACATCTCCCTTATAATCTTTCAATCCAGAGATATCAGGTATGTAACTCTTGCCATTTTCACCTGTTGCAACAACCAGAAAACTAGCGACAAAGACTTTAGTTGCCTTTACTAAGATATCCCTGGCTTTAACTAGCCACTTGCCCGTAGCTTCGTCAAATGATGCAGATTCAACTGAGTGATAGTAGCGCGGTCTAATATCGAAGTCTAAAACATAATCATCAATGTATTCAATGAAATCATCCTTGCCCATGTATTTATTAGCTTGTGGTGCATGAGGCTTAAAGGGTAATGAGCAAAATTCTTTTGCTAAATGAAGGTGGCATCGATCATATGCACGTTTCTTCCAAAGAGAAGCACAACAATCTTCTTTTTCAAGAAGAATGTATGGGATAGATTTTTTGGTTAAGCATGCAGCAATGCCAAGTCCTGCTGGTCCCGCCCCTACTACAAGGACTAATGTTTCTTCCATAAAAATTTGTTAGATTTCTCTTTTTTTTTTAAAAAAAAAAAAAAAAAAAAAAAAATAGAAGAGAGAAATTTTACAGAAATTGACTGAATTGAAAGATATGTCAATTGAAATTCAAATGAAGAAATTGGACTTTGAACTAGTTATTTCTTTGACTCGAGGATAAATTGATGATTATATAATGTATTTAGGATTAATACTCCAAGTTGTTTAGAATATATATATATAGGGGTTGTGTTGTAAGATTGTCCAAAACTTAAAGACAATCTTCTTATGGAATATGACAATTAATTTTGGTAAACTTAGTAATTTTTTATCTTAAATAATGATGAATTTGGTATGTTTTAGAGGGAGAGTACATTGGCATGTGGTGTTGTGTTGTGTTGTAAGATTGTCCAAAACTTAAAGACAATCTTCTTATGGAATATGACAATTAATTTTGGTAAACTTATTAATTTTTTATCTTAAATAATGATGAATTTGGTATGTTTTAGAGGGAGAGTACATTGGCATGTGGTGTTATTGATTATAAATAATAAAATTGGCAACCTAAGATTATGTCATATAACAGTATAACTTGCTAAGATGTGGGGGAAAAAAAAAAGAAAAAAGAAAACAAGTAATCATCTCCTATATTAAACATGAACAGAATTTTACATAAAAATTTATGGAGTAAAAATTAAAATTCGACACTTTAATTATCTAATTTGATTTATTTCCCTAACAGCTAACGTCCTTCTAAATATTATTACATAAATAAAAATCTCTAAATCTCTTACCTCTCATTTTCGTGTTGTAAAGTTCTAAGTTTAGGGCATGAATCAACCAAAGGACAAATATGCATCTTTATTTTAAATTTCTCTGTTAAATTTTTACTCCTTTCCATAATTTTTTACTTCAAATAATTTTGATGTTACAAAGGAAATTATAATATTATCCGTAGCCTTGAATATTGTTATTACTAATTAATGCATTGGCACAATAATTGCCTTGTGTTTCCATGTATAGAGGGGTCGTTGTATTTGAGAACTAGAATATTCACTCATATTGTACAACCAAGCCTTCTCAATCTTATGTATTTGGCATATAACCTTAAATTCATTGCATTATGTATTTGTGAACTGAATATTGTACAATAAATTAAAATTACCTATATATATGCCTTTATGTTAGCTTGATTTGAATTGATTGAGAAGCTAGGCTTCGTTATATACACAGAATTTTTGTTTGATACAAGGCTTACATCAAGGAATATCTTTGAATAATTTAATTATACAATATTCTAGATATACATACAAATATATTCACAATCAATTGGTCAATATTTTATCGAGTTAAGGTAACAATTAGGGACTAAACTTTTTATAATTTTCACCTTTTGGGACCTAAACTTTTTTCTTTCACCGTTTGGAACCTAGAAAAAAAATATTAGTCAGATAAATTAACTATGGTTAAGCGGTGGGGCCCATCAATTGTTTTAGTTTATAATTTATTTGTAAAAGAGACTAAAAAATTTTTTTTTTTTTTTTTTTTAACTCCCACTCTTCGTCATCAACCCACCCCCCCCCCCCAATTTGTTTGTTCTCCCTTTCAAAAAAATTGAAGCTTTGAAGACGATTTTGGTGTAAATTATTAGTGGCTTTTCAAGCATTTTAGCACAAGTATGTTGTCTATTTACTTCAAATTTTTTATTTTAGTACATAATTAAAATTCTATACGGCTCATTATAATGAGGTGCCAGGCCTCATTATAACCTCATAAACTTTTTTATTATTTTTTTTATGGGAACCTCATAAACTTTCTACGGCTCACTTAAATAAGTAGAAAAAATAAGTTCAAACATGCTCATTTCTTTTCCAATAATTCCAGAATCATTATTAGCTTATGTTACTACCAGTCTTACACTGCAAAAACATAGCATATACAAGCAAAGCTACGCACCTGACTGCCTATTGTTGCAATGGTGAGGAGCTGAGGATGCACTGTGAAATTCACAAATAATTACAAGCTTGTTACTACAGATTCTGAACTTTATCTTGTACTTGTAACCTTAATTCGGAAATAATTTCACCAGAGACGGGTGATAATCAATGGAGAAAATTAGACATTCTGCATTTATATAAGCTTGATTCATTAGGACCATGTATTGGATATTCTAGTTTTTCTAGTTATACAATAAGCTTTTTATTGATTATGTAAATGCAGAGTATCTAATTTTCTCTATTGATTATTGTCATTACTCTTTTGTGAACTAGAATATTGTATAACTAAAAATTACCTATATATAAATGCTTTTTTTTTTTTTTTTGAAACAATATATAAATGCATTTATGTAAGGTTGATTTGCATTGATACAAAATATTAGTTCATTTGATACAAAACTTGATTCTAGGAATATCTTTGAATATTCAATAATCTAATTATACAATATTTTAGACCTTTAAGTTAGGCAAGCTTATAATTATCTACAAAAATACTTACAAAATATATTCACATTCAATTAGTCAAAGATAGTATTCTATCACTGAATTAGATTTGACAATTTAAATTCAATTGTCATTAAAAAAAATGATGATTTAATATTTAAATTTAATTTTAAAACAAGATACAGATTATTATTTATTGATATTAAAATTTTTATCTAAATATCCAACAAATGAAAAACGTTAATTTTTTAATAACTTCTACTCGTATTATATAGTTGTAGAGTTTTTTTTTTTTTTTTTTAATTCCCCAACCTTTATCTACACTCCAAAACTCCAATCCTTAAAACCATAACTTCCACTTCTTCTCTCTTAATGATTGTCCTTTTTGGTTAAATTTCACGGAAATTAAGAAACTTAAATAAAAAGTATTCCCTCTGTTTTTAAATACTTGCTCCATTTTTATTTTTTGCACTATTCATTTATCCTAATTTGACTAAAGTTTGTGATTTATACATAAGAAAAAATATAGTCTTGTGAGTACTTGTTGGAATCGTCTCAAGGAATAGATTATTAGTTTTCAATTGTTAGAATTTATACTTATTGATAATTAAAGATATTATTCATCAAAGATTAGCATCGACATACGTGTCCAAGAGAAATGGAGCAGGTATTTAAAAACGGAGGGAGTAGTAAAAATACATTGGAAAAGTAAATTTACATGGGGTATGCAAAAAAGTAGAGAGAGAAAGTAATAAAATTATAGAAATGCAAAATAAAATTTAGATGGGGAAGCTAAATTTGCACAAATGTTGTTGCAAATTGGAGGGAATTTTTGGTAAAAAAACAAAAATCAATATTAATGCATGGTTGTTGGAAAAGACAAATAAGGTGAATATTTTGGGACTAAAATTTTACCAAAAGAGACAATTATTAAGGGACAAAGGAAGTACATATATTATAAAAATAAAAAAACAATACCAATTACTTTTTCTTAAAACCACCCATAACTTCTATTAAAAAAAAAATTAAAAATAAAATATAAAAAATAAAAAATAAATAAAAACCATAACTACCTATTACAATTATTCAAAGACTAATTTTCGTCGCAAGAAACATATATACTTCGTGCTCTAGCAGGATACGTTCTAAAGATGGCTCTTGTCGTGTTGGGTCGTGTCAGGCTCACGTGCTTTGGGATTAGTTAGGCCTGGCCCATGGCTAGGCCCACGAGCTTCGTGTCGTGTCGGGTCGTGCCGAAATTTTTAAAAGGTTAGCTCGTGTACGGCCTAGGCCCACGTGTCATCGTAACGGGCTTACGTGTCTAAGCAAAATTTCATTGATTTTAGTGTGCTTTGTCGTGTCAGACCTTATCGTACTTCTCCCAAATAAAGGCGGCCCACGGCCCAACACACATAGTAATGTGTCGTGCCGTGCCTATACCGTACCCGTGTCGTGTCGTGCCTTTTTCGTGCTGGGCCATGCCGGGTACCATCTTTAGTACGTTCTATACATAATAGAAATTAATTTTTCCTTTTATAAAAAATCCTCCATCGCATTTCTTTGAACTAATTTTCATAAAGGCATGCAAGAAATATTAATTAATTGTATTAAAAAAAAAAAACATGCAGAGTAAGAGATATTCATTATAATAAAATCATATATAGTGTAATAGTTAAATATTAAGAAGTATATCATAAAATAAGTTAAATAATTTTAAATAAACTAGCTATTCTAATTTATAGGAAAAAAAATTGACCAACGAATTAGAATAGCAAGGTATATAAAGGAGACATTTTTCGAAAAGTATTCGGCGCATCATATAAGCTTGGACTGATTTCAACTTATGAAAAAAAATTATATTTATATTTTATTTTAGATTAAAAAAATTCAATCTTCACGCAAGCAAAATTAACGAATATGATATTTGAGAGTTTATTTTCAAGTATAAAAAACAATGAATAGTGATTAGACTATTTAAAAAAAAAAAAAATATCTTTTCACATTTGAAATTTTTTTCCAAATATCTAACAAATGAGTAATATATTTACAATTACATTAAAAAAAAATATAAATTACACTATTCTAATAGGCATTAGTAATTTTATCTAATTATAATAGGATTTCTTTTTGTAAAAACAATTAAATAGTAAAATGAATAAAATAATTAAAAATAACTTAGAGTCTAATTATGAAAAATATATTTTTATGAAATTTATGTATTAAAAACCATACATCGAACGACTTTCATCTAGTTATTTTATATTTATACAAGTAAAATTTCTTCAAATGAAGATAACTAGGAAGATGAGCAAACAAAATACAATCACAGATGTCAGTCTTCGATAGACGGTTGATAACATTCGCCGAGCTAGTAAGGCATTTGCATGGTGTAGCATCCACAAAGTTCAGAGAGACCGTGTAGACAAGATGCACATCCTCGCAACTACGGCTAATAATAGTTTATCTTCTTTTAATAATGTTGTTTAGTTTGTATGTTTAAGCTTATCTCAAAATAAAATAAAATAAAATAAAATAAAATTGTGTATGCTATGGGCCCGACTGATTATTGTTGCAACGGTAAGGAGCTAAGGATGCGTGGTGAAATTCACAAATAATTACAAGATTGTTACTTCAGATTCTGAACTTTATCTGCTGTGTACACTTATAACCTTAATTCGGAAATAATTTCACCAGAGATGGGTGTTTCTTTCTTTCTCCTCGCGAAAACCCAGGATAGGGAGATAAAGTAGACCTTCATTAGATGTTCTGCATGGCTCTCTGAAGTATCTGCCCATCAGTTTGTGACAAACAACACTGCCTTACTGATCTATCTGCCCATATTCAAGGTAAATCGCTTGGATTTGAGAAACGAAGACTTTACAATTCTTATGTAGGCCAAATTGCCAAGAACATCTCAAAGTAGCATTTAGAATGGGAGAACGCACATTTGCCTTTAGAAGATGGTTTGGCAACCCCAATATCTCCACTCCAGAGTCCATATTAGTACAAAAAACCTGCATTCAGTTTAGATTGTACTTCTCTTGGAGACAGTTTTACAGGCGAATTTGCTACCAGTTTGATTAAGGTATATCATTACATTTGTAGTTGGTAATCCAACATGGAAGTGCAGTCAAGTAAATTGTTATTTTATGCAAGAAATGCTAATAGGAGGAATTAAAAGAGAATGCATTCATTATATTCCAGTAAAATACAATGATATGTTTCTTTCTTTCAATATACAAAGCCCAATGTTATACGAAATACATAAAGTAACAAGTACTCCATATCAGACCTCTCATCATGTACATGATTAAACCACGAAGTTAGAATCACCATTCACAAAGCTTGGAACGAACCATACAACATATTCAAATTTCTGAGTTCAGAGTTTTGACAAACTTTCCACACCTTGAGCGGCACATTCTGTATCGTCGAAGTCAAGGTTGTTACGAGAGTTACGACTGTTAGAGCTGCCTAAAAGCTTTAAGAATGGGGTTCTTGAACTGATACTAGTAGGCTACTAGGCTAACCATTTCCTCACTTCTATCCGACAAAGAATATACATAGGTCCAACTACAAATATTATTAAGGAATATACGTTTTTTATTATTGTACTAAATCTAAATAACTGCTCCGTAGTTGACAGTAATTAGAGAGTGGCTATGAATACATTGCATGTTTTATGGATTATTGTCATTTTAAAGAAGGTATGAGCTATATAAAAATGTTACTCGTATTTTTTAAGTGTTGAGTTGTACAATTTCCAAATGAACACAACGCATTAATAATCATTATTTCATCTAATAAAATGTCAAATTCTGAAACAACCAAGAATATGATGCATTTACCGTTTACTCTATCTCACCAGCGCCCTTTTCATCCAAATCGCAGCTAACTTGGACCAACTGCTTCTTTGTTTTGGAGAATGATTTACTGGAGACACTCAACAGCTTATTCAGAGACATATCGTTGCCTACAACCTTCTTCTTCAGTTCATACCGATGCTTGATCCTGTTATCAAGATTGTACCCCAAAAATGCAGGAAAAGACATGAGCTCTCCTATTTCTCGATCCATCTCTACGAGCAAGTAATCCATCTTCTTCTCTAAAGACTTTGGATTGTATTGCAGTATCTGAAAATGCTTTTTGCTCATTGCAACTATATCTTCAGAAGAAAAGCCGTAGCTCAAAAATAAATCAATGACTTCTTGCAAATTCTCTGAGCTTGTTCTTGTCACAGCCCCCATTGCCATAGCAAGATCTTTCGTCCTATGGCCATAACCAATCTTTACCAGCATTGCCAGCTTGTGAGAGAGGTTCTTCTCGAAAGAAAGGCCAAGAAACAAAGGCGCTTTAATCAGGAACCGATAAATCTCTCCTGAATCCAATCCACATTCCTTCAAAAGATCAATTCTGGGCTGCAATTTCCGCTGTTTGCTGGTACTCATCACATTCGGGAAAACAAGCACTATCTTAAAGATTTCTAGATCAGTTAGGCCAACATATGACCTGAAGAACTCCACATGACCTTGCAGATGCTCCACACTATAGGTTACAATAGCAGGCAGTCTATTCAGAACTTCACCTACGGCATCTGTATCTCCCCCACTAAGCCGTTGAAGGAACCCAATTCGCGGTACTAACTGAGTATCCAAATCATAGTTGAGTATTGCAGGGCGCTTAGCAATGATACTCACAGCATCAAATCGGCTCAAAAATGTCAACATTCTCTGAATCTCTTCACATGACTTCAAGCAAAAAGCCTTGCTAAGATTAACATTATTGAGAATATATGCAATCTTTTCCTGAGGAATACCATGTTGAAGCAGCAAATCAACCTTCTTATCAAATCCTGCAATAAACCTAGGCTCAACCCCAAGCAAAAGGCGCTCAATCTGAATACTTTCAATCTTATTTCCTAAACCATCATGAATAAATTCTATCAAAAAACCAACTTCTTCAGCAGTTAATACATCTGGGTGTTTGGAAATCAACTTAGACAATACAACTTCATTCACTCCAACTGATTGTAACCCACGAATACGACTGCGAATCAACTCAACTGGTACAACCTCCAAACCCGGGTTTCTCCCAATAATATCATTAGCTACTCTATCATCAATACCCAGAACTTGGAAAACTGAAAACAGATGTCCTAAAAACACAAAAAAAAAAAAAAAAAAAAAAAAAAAAAAAAAAAACATTATCACATGAAAAGCTGTTTCGCTATAACAATGCAGATAACATGTTTGATAAAAGGGCTAAGAGAAGTACATACCAATTTCAGTGAGATTAACACTTTGTCTACTGGATTTTCTTATAATAAACACATTTCTGGAATGTTGAATTGAAATTGGCAACAAGAAAGCTCGATTATCTCCACCAAAAAACCCAGAAAAACAAAGATGAGGAGAAGTATGAGTTGCGTAAAGAGGAAGTTGAGGAGAAAAGCTTAATAATTGAGGATAAAAAGAATATGATGACATCAAAGTAATCATCTTTCAACGTTCTTCTTTTGAGATGGTAAAATCTTGTGATTTGAATTTTTATGAGTATGAACCTATAATTGTGACTTTGAGACTTTGAGATGTACTTGGCGCCAATCTCTCTCTCCAATCTTTTCTTTTTCTCAAAAAGTGACTATAACTCTATGTGGAATATTCCGTCCACGTTGCAATATAACGGTTGCACTTTAAATTACGGCTTTACACTTACACTACTCGTACTAAAAACTCTACTCTAATAATTGTTTGTATTCATCTCAATAAATAATTTCAATACATACCAATATTAGTTTTCATGTTTGTATTCGTCTCAATAAATAATTTCAATACATTACCAATATTTTGAAATTGAGATCAAACTTTGGCGGTTAAATTTTCACCAACGAGTCTAACAAAATCTTCAAAATCGTAAAATACTTGTTCAATTTCAGATGATCGTCCTTATTTGACTATCTTGTTTTTCATAAAGCACATAGAGTGTAATTTTTAATTCAATAAGTCATTATTTTGCGTAAATTATATTCATAACAATCTAATTAATACCGTTGAAATTTGATTCGAATATTTAGAGAAAAGTGACAAATCACTATGTTAATCAAACGACAATACATCATAATCATATGACAATAGTTCAAATGAAGACAAGAACATTAGAAAAAACAACCAATAAAGTTGGCGAATGCTTCTTGTTCTCGTCCACCAAACATTAGGCCGTTTTGTTCACAATGGTATAGAAAATGTATCAAGACCAAAAAATGAGATCTGATATTAAATGATGGGTAAAAAATTTAGAGTAACATCAGTACAACAAAATTGCAGTACAATTTACATTCTACACACAAGAAGCACATAGATTGGGACTGGTAAGCCGAATACGACCACACAATCCATCTTTCAATTTGAGTTCGAGTGAGCAGCTGGTGTTGATATAACTCCAGGATTGGACGAATTCGTCCTCTACACTCTACATTACCTTGGATACGCATTATGCCAATTGGCATTGAATATAATTAGTTGATTATCGGTATGTATTCCATATTCCTTCAATGTTTATGTGATCTTCATCTGTTTAGGGCGCTTCTTTTGAAAGCATTTGCCTGCTGTTATGGCTGCATTAGTATTACTTGATGGAATCGACTTTAGGAGGATCACTGGTGAGTCTTCTTTTCTGGTTTTCTTGGGTGGTCTCGGGCAAGGGAACCTGAAGGATAAAGGTAATAGAGCATATGCTTAACTTTAGTGCTATGAAGTATAATTAGGAATTAGGATCACAAAATTTGTGTTGCTAAAACAAACTTGCCTCCTTTGAGATACTTTGCTAGGAAAATTTTCTCTCTCCTGTGTAGGTCTTCTTTCTTTGTCATTCTGGTGTTGTCCCTGCATGAAATAATAGAAACCACAGAGAGAAATGTTGTCATTTTTAAGGCGAAATAAGTAGCAACTACACAAAATAATACATTTTCGACAATATTCAGTAAAAACACCAGTGAAACACCCATTCGGTAATAATATCTTTACGCAACTAATCACTCCTCCATATTTAATTAATTAAGGATAAGCATAGTAATTTTATCAAACAACCTAGGAATACTCACTGGAGGCTGTTGCAGCCATTTTTGACCAAGGAAGGAAATTCAACAAGATGAAGTGTTTGTTACTGACTTACTGAGTTAATTCGCATAAAATAACAGTTCCTAGAAAAACATGCTGACCAAAAACACCTAAAATAAGAAACAAAAATCTCTAACCAAAGATTTTATGTAGAAGTGATAAGCAACAGCATCTAACACACTGACAAGACAGAAAGAAAAGAAAGTGCTGATGAACAACATAGATCTTGTTCATAAGTTGATCAGGAAAAAGAACAGAAAACAAGAGAAAAACACATTAGTGTGCATATGAATGAGCAACGCACTCGTGTTTGCATCGGAGTGAGATATACCACCAGTATGAATGGAAATGTAGAGCAATTATTTGTGAGGATCGGCATCATAGAATCAAACGCAAGATATACCAACTGGTTACAAATGATTGTTATTTGCCCCTCCGAATCCCCAAACAAACTGATTCAGGAAGGCCGCCCAGGCCAGCATGAAACTGTGAAAGCTACTCTTTAGTCTTCCAAAAATATTAGCAATACTATCATACATTTACAATGTGGTCAATGGGTCTCTTGTGTGATTAGAACTATCTAATAAACATTATTATAAGTGAATCTCAATATAAACATGGGGATCAAAAATGTGAGCAACAAGGAAATTACAGCAAATATTTGCTCATGATGGTTGCATTGGTGTCAAATCAAGTGCAGAAAGGGACCGTTAACTAAAGCTTATCCAATGCAACTAATTTAACAAAACCCAGAAATTAAAGCAGTGAAGACAACATTGTCATCAAACCTGATTGAAACTTCAACTATAAGCTAACCTTATGAAACTAAATCCCAAGAATTGAATCGGTTGTATTTTTTCTTTTCTATAGTACACTAAAATGGCTATGCTTCTAAGACTTCCAGCTTAGTTTCCAAAATAAACAGATTTCAAGCTGCCTAGATTTCTGCACAAGTTCAGGCATATTTTACAAAACCATGCCTTCATGCTAGTAGTGAATACTGCAAGCAAACATGCAGAAAAATCTATGCTCACCTGAAGCTAAAGCAGATTAATATTAGTACGAAAATGAAATTCTGAAACATTTGCTTGCATGACAATTAGTTTAAACAGAAAAGCCAGAAGAAATGGAACTAGAATACGGTTTTTCTTCGGCTAAAACATAATTTGTTTTCACATTACTCGATCTATTCCTTCTCACCTGTTTTCACAATTCATCATAAACTTAGAATAGGAAGACAAATCAGTCATCCTAGATTATTCACTATTGACTCCAAAACTGAACCACAGCCAAGAAGCAAATAATTCTTCAGAATTTTATGTCAAATTCACAACACTGTACTCATAAAATAGCTAGAAAAACTAGAGTGCTGCAGCTTATTCACTACAAATACATAAGTAACCTATCAAGACATAAATTTGAAGCATTCTCCTCATGTAACATACTAAATCAGCAACAACCCATATTACATTCAGAGCAACTTCTTCTACAGTGAGGAAATACAAAACACTTTTAGTGTATAAGCAACCCCCACTTGCCCTACAGCCATATCAGAAAATCAAGCGAACCCTAGAACACAACCACCAGACTACCAGAGTACCAAATCAACTTCCAAACAGTTAGCAACAATGCAGCAAATAGGAGCAAGAAATACAGAGTTTTCAGCAAGATCCTACAACGAAATTCAAAAGAGCGCGCCCTATCATAAAGTTCAGAGGTTACACATTTGGATTGGTGCTTAAAATTTCTAAAAACAAGCACGGGATGGCAAACCCAAGTCGTGAAAATGAATAGTACATGCCCCTAAAAATGTCAGCAAATAATGCTATGATGAGATTCTCTTAGGCTATCTGAAAATAAGTGCAGATCTTCATACTCTTAATAGAAAGGCCGGCACTCAACCACACATACAAACACCATATATAAGCACATTAATAAAGCACTGACAACTCCTTCAAAGCCAAAAGTAGTGGCAATCACAGAGTTGAAACAAAGCTGTCCACAAACATTTTTTGATCTAGACTTATCATATGTACATGATGCATAATTCCTAGATGATAGAAATTCAGAAACTAACCAATGTTATGTAAATTATAATACGTACTTGGTTCAAATCTACCACAAGCTGCTACTACAATGGATTTCATACACAAAAACCAGTCAACAAATAGCTTCAGAGTTCAGCGACAAGTTCAAACTCAATCATGAAAATCGAACCAAAAACTCGAAACAATTCACAATTCCTACCTAATTCCAAGCTTAAACCAAGATAAACAACAACCCCAATAATTTTCACATCATATTGAACATGAAATATTGAGATTCAAGCAAGAAAACACCATCAAAATCACCTAAAACAGAATAAAAACCCAAAAAAAAAAAACAACCCAATCATTATCATTATTCCATGTACAGCAAAACCCTTTTTTCAAGCTTGCAAGAAAATCAAACAAACCCATTAATTAATTTATTTTCAATATTACTATTAATTTTCTTACTTTATTTGGTTGCAACAATTTATCATCTTCCTTCATCACCACCTTGTTCTTCTTATTCAGCTGATCATCATCAAATTTATTATCATCCCCCAAATTATCAACCAACAAATTCCTCTTCTTCCCACCTGAAACCCTTGATTTAAATTTACACTTCTTATCTTTGATTTTCCATTCATCATTCTTCCTAAATACCCATTTATCCGATTTCCATTCATCAAAACTCGTATCAATAATTGTAACTTCACTTCTCGAATACGATTTCAAGTCAATTACTTCTTCTACAACATCATCATCAAATTTCACCTCATCAACCCTAACATTTATATTCCCACCATTATCATTCAAACTATTATCGCCGCTCGATACAAAGCCACCATTATCACTCTTCTCTCTCCTCAAATCATCAGACGAACTCGGTCCACTCGGCAACTCACTCTCCGAACTCGCCCCACAAAACCTAGGGTTTGCCTGCTTCCGAGAACTCTTCTTCGAGAAAGTTCTGGAAGCTTCTCCGCCCATATTAAATAACCCACATAAAACTCCGGCGAATTCTCCTGCGGAATCCGGCGGTTTCTCTCTCCTCGAACGAGCCGGAATCGGCGGCGCGTGTGAATGAGTCGAATCGGAGTGAGTTGCTGAATCGGCGGTTGGAGCTGAACCGGAGCTTGAGGATGAAAGAAACCGGTCTAGATCCGGTTCTTTTCCGGTCGGAAAACCTCTCGATGACCGGAGCCGGTCTAACCAGTTTGAGCTTGACGTTGAAATCATGTCTTTGAATTTTTATTACAGAATTAAAAAATAATTAAATTAAAAAAAAAAAATTGAATTTTTGATGGATTTTTTTTTTCTGGGGATTTTTTCTCTCTCTCCTTTGGTTTTCAGAGTTTCAGGTGAAACATCAGAGTGTTTCAGACATGAAAGTAAAACACAAATTTACTCCACTACACTGGCATAAAACACTTCAATATTTTTTTCGTTTTGTAATTTAATCAATATAATAATTATATAGTAAAAACGAAATCAGGAGTGACCCATGTGTTGAAAAATGAAAATTTTCCCTTTAATTTTTTTTTTTTTTTTTTTTTTTTTTTTTTTTTTTTTGCCAAATCTGATCTTCACTATTTTTTTCGTAACTAAAATATTTTCCTTACATTTTGACAATTATATTGGCTTCCATATACACTCAAAAGAATAATTTGATTCCTACATAAAGAAAAATAATGATGTGTTATATTTTCTATGTATAATATATATTCATATTACAATTAGGTGTTTAAAAATAAATGAACATGCAACGTATTTAGAATAATATTATTAACCAAGATTTCTTTATAATAATCTTTCTATTTTTAAATAGCTCCAACTTCATTATTTGGGTAATAAATTGTATTTCAATAAATAAAAGAAAAATCATTTTGGTAATATATAATTCATATACTTTATTTTTCCATTCTTAAAAAGCATATCAATAATAGCATGCGTCCGTAGAAGAAAAAAAAAAGTAAGTAGTATATACTCCGTATATGTCAAAATTTGGAGCAAAAATTTCCCACCATTATATTTTCAAAAATTGTAAAAAAAAAAATGTTCTTTACTAATCAATTAAATATTGTGTCCGTCAAAATGTGTGAACAAAATAAGGATGGAGGTATATATGTATATCGCATGAGTATTAACCTAATTTTTTTATTTATTAAACACAACTCTGTAGCTCTTAAATTTCTTTTATTTTTTCATAATGTCGACCTAATACAATAGTTACCCTTAATGTCATTATTTGGATAAATTATTATTGAATTAATATTATAATTCATAACAATATTAGTTAAAACCATGTGTTGCTTGGGACTTAAACTAGTTTTGCTTAAAAGAAAATATCTTTTGAGATTTGGGCCTCTTTGGTATTCATAGGATGACGCGTGATGCCCAATTATTGTCCATTGGATTTTTGGCCCAATTATATGTTATAGACTTATAGAGTATGTTTATGTTGGATGAAAAAAACGTTCTACTCCCGTACTAAATTTTTTAAGTTTTGATTTGATATAATTCCCTTTTGTTTTAAAAATTGCTATACTTGTCATTTGAAATCATGAAATGAAATAATTAAGTGAGATTAATCTATCATGATCTCACGTGACTATATTAGTACTTATTGATTCTTAATTATATTCATCAAATCTGAATAGTGCATAAGTCAAAGTAAAGGTGGTCAACCGTGATAACTAGGTCGGATTAGGTGGTTCTTGGGTTAGATTGAGGTGACACAAGACTAGCAATAAGGGACGGGGTGGGCTGAGTCTCGGGATAGGTTGAAAAGGGTAAACTAGGTAAGGGTGGGTTTGTGGGTTGTAAGTTAAGTTGGTCTGGTAAGTTAAGTAGGGTAGTGGATTTAAAGGGAGACGAGAAACGTTTATCAAGAGGCAATTCAGTAAATATTTTGCCTTGAATATTGTGCTACAAATTATAAAATAATATATTTTTCTTTTGTTAGCTGTCGCTAAGAACTTGCATTTAACGTCTAATAATTCACTTTTAACTTCTCCTTCCAAATAGAAGAGAGACAAAGAGAAGATCGCCTTCATATTATAACAATGGAGGAATCAAGCCTAAAAGAACTGCTTATCTATCTATGTCCTCCATTGAAGTTGATTTTGACTCAACCATATATTTGGCGGCGAAAATGAAAATCCTAAGAGAAAATGGTGAAATAAATAGCATGGTTGATCCTAAAGGGTAAGGTTTATTGTCCTGCAACATTGAAAATACTTGTGAGTATGTTTATGTTTCCATTTCTCCATTAAAGTTGATAAAGAAGATGAAAGAACGACTTTCATTAGTAAAATTAAAATTGATACTGTAAAGTAGCTTATCAACTTCTTAGATCCTCCCTCTTACCACCTTCTTAGATTCTGCCAAGTTTCTACAAATTAAGAACGATATGATACTAACAATGAATAAAGGAATCTACCTACGAGAAAGAGGGAGAAAATAGGCTTTAACGTCAGTTAATGTCTCATTATATTATATGGAAGGGAGTAAGTTTACTAAATAACTCCAAACACCTTACTTGAAAGTACACTATTACCCTATAATAAACATAATAGGTTTGAATTTTCTTGTGAGTTAATTGCTTATGAGTTATGATGAACATAATTAGGTAACCATAAATCCATAATATCCAATTCAGTATTTCAAAATAGTTATAATTTGAAATTCAGTGAGTTAGTGGCATGGCCCAACCACCACTTATTTTCTCTTCCACAACATCAAGCAGAGGTATTACTAAAATGTTTTTCTTATATCGTAAGCGTACAGTGTGTTGTTAGCATAAGCATAGAAAGCATTGATCGATTTGATATGAACTTACCATCCTTTGTCATAAGTTAAAATTAATTTTTTCAACTTTCAATGTACTTTTCATCATAAAAAGTACTATGTGTATGATTATCACTCTACTCGCACAAAATTATATATTTTAAAATTACATCTCTCACCCTCAATAATTAGTTACCTCTGCTAATTATACGAGTAGATTATTTTTAGTATCATAAAATTACTTTCATCTCAATCTTGTAATTTTCTTTAAACTTTATACTCCCTAGATACTGTACTACGAAATACTCTCATTATAATTAACCAAAAACAAAGGAAGTCGTCGATTATCTTTCTTATTAGTGATTGCTTCTTAACATTTTTATATTTTTAATTAAGTGGTCGCAATTATTTCTTTGTGTCTTGCACTCTTACCAGTTACCACAAACTCCATTTGAATCATGAGTTACTATAAAAAGTTAGATTATTTTCTAAAAAAAAAAATAAAGTTTAGATTATGACATAAGTCAGTAGTGCTTACGCGTAGTTACGCCTTATGAACTTTACGAGTGATAAAAGTACAATTGCGGCGTAAAAAACGTGGAATGTGTTTTCCGTAGTGTTTTATCTAATGGAGCATGATGTTTGCTCAAGGCTATAAAATTGAATCTATCATGAATTTCAATTCCACTCACATGAGATGTGTAATTTTTAACAGAGGTGATCAACTATTGCCCCACGTGCTAGTTTAGTCCAATTCAATTCGAAAATTAGATGGGTTTGGACAAGCTTAAACACACAATTTTAGTTAAAAATTCAAACACGATCCGAAAAAACCCTGTTTTGGGATTTTTTGAGATTCCCTTGTGATACAGATCTTCAATGTCACTCGGACAGCCAGAGACACCTGTAAAATAATGAATATTCCATCGCCTCCGATGATTAAGTTAGTAACCGGAAAACGGAGGGTTTTAGAAAGAAAAAAGTAGGGTGAAGTTAGAGCAATCAACAATTAATAATGCCTTGAATGCAATGTCTCTATCCACCTTCCTATCATAAATTATTGGAGTATTTATAGGGGCGGGAATGTGTGCCCTCCTAGGGTTTTGCACCTTAGAATGGAGGACATTGATTGACTGTGCAATTAGCCTAGGACATGTGTCCTTTGGGGGCACCGTTTTGGTGCCTCTCTCGGTAATTGGGTTTTGATATGATGGTTGCCTTTTACCCTGCTGAAGTGTCTTATATTTGCCACGTTTCATCTTCCTATTGGGGCACATGTCGCCCATTTATTGGGCCACGTGTCACCATAAAATTGGACCACGTGGCGGAGTATTTTTACCCTCAACAAACTCGACAAACCTGCTTAGGCCCAAAAAGCCCACCACTTTTGGGCAGGTTTGGCCACGAGTTAAGATGTTAATTGGCTCGACCCGATTTTTTGATCATCTCTAATTTTTAGTGTATTTCACTGAGGCATATATAAAACACATAAATACATACACCTTAGTATAAGTATTTCCGTCCCCTCGTAAGGAAGACTTTCTAATGTTATTTTTCTTACCCAAAAACACCTTAATACATGTTTTTTTTTTTATATATTTTATTTTAAGCTCTTTCTCTAATATCTTCTTAGAAGTGTTAAGTGTATATAAATACATGTGTGCATCATATTTATATACACGAACAAGAGGTTTAAAAGGAATTTGACTACTCATACTATTAAATTACTAAATGGTGACTTACATATAAAGTAAACTTATACAAATATATCGTGTATTATAGGTATACGTTGTATTTATATACACTAACAGGAGCTTTAAAGAGAGACTGGACTGAAATATATACTAATAATACTACGTATTAAAAGGTGGCTTGTGTCTAAGGTAAACTTATATATCTTACTCTTTAGATTAGTCTAAACTATATTTTATTAGTTTCAAGCTAAGAATCCAAGATACTAAATGTTGCTACATCCAGTTTGAACTTGAATAACTCGCTTACTATCAAGCATTCTTTTTTTGTAAAGAAGCACCTTAATTATTTCTAATGACGTAGCTTACTTTAGCTCTTTTGTAATTACATTGGAAAACTTATCAATTCATTATAGATCAAATTTTAGGGAATAAATTTTCTAATAATAATAATAATAATAATAATAATAATAATTTTCTCTATCTCGACGCCGTGCTCTGCTTGTTCTCGGGTTTTTACTGGGGATATTTTCAGTGATCACGCGGTGTCGTGTGCTGGTATTGTGGGTATTGAACATCAGCTTAATGTTGTCCGGGATACCCTTGTTGATACCTACTACAGATCTGGGATTTCAGCAAGAAAGGAGGTTGACATAGGGTTGTCTGGAGGGAATGACGGGACCCTCAGACCTGCTGATGTGTTGCTTTATTCCTGGGATCGTGGTCGCGATGTTTGTGTGTACGACTTAACAGAGTCTTCTCTTTTGACACAGACAGGGCTATCTGACTTTGTTCCTGGACGGGTTGTGGCTGATGCGGCTCATCGGAAGCGGGTGAAGTATGAAGCTAGTTGTCAGCTGATTGGATATGGTTTCATTCCCTTCTTCTTTTCTTCACTTGGGGAATTAGAGAAGGAGGCTGTTGCGTTGCTGAAGCGGGTTCAAAGGTTCTCGACGACGCAAGACATTGGGGCTCGTGCTGCAGCTTATATCTTCATTAGGGTAGACTTTGCTATAGCTAGAGGAGTGGGGGTTCATA